TGTGGTGTTATAAACAACAATGGTAGTGGAGTAAGAGATTTCTGCCAAGAAAACAAGTTAGTTATTGGAGGCACCATCTTCCAACACAAGATCATTCATAAACTAACATGGACTTCAACATATGGTCACACAAAGAACCAAATTGACCATGTAGTGATAAACAAACACTGCAGAATGTAAGAGCATTGAGAGGGGCTGATGTAGGAAATGGCCACACTCTTGTCCTAGTAAAGCTGAAATCGAAACTGAGAAAGATAAAGAAAGGGGAACAACGGTCACCTCAAGTGGATGTGAGCAAACTCAAAGATCCCCCACTCATAAAAATTTATTTTACCTATTTATTATTTTTATTTACTTACTTAATTTTTAGCTTTTGATTGATATAAAAAGAAAAGAAAAGAAACCCACAATACAACGCTCTTTGATTCTTTAGAACGGGTAACCCCCTTCCCCACCCCTCCACACGCACGCACCTCAGAATTTAATTGCAAACTAGTGTATACCGAGTGTATACTAGCAAACTCATGTATACCGAGAAATAAGGTACTATTCGTTTTCAGATCAATAAAATCAATTTCCTTTAATTTTCTCGCTTCATCCCCCTTTCCAGCTTGAGAATGAAGATCCAGAAATTTTCTAAGAGGGGAAGTGGCACCGAATTAAAAATCAAATTTATCTTACAACCACAAATAAAATATGTACTGTGAGCAATGAGCTCGCAAAATGATACCCCCACTCCCATATGAGTATAATGGCAAAGACCCCAGTTTCTCTTAAATATGTGATTCCCTTAATATCTGTCCGATCAGATCATAAATAGAAGGTGCACAATGCCACTATGTAATGAAGATTCTGTGAAAGTATCATTAAATTTTTATTCAGTGGTATTGGAGGAGTTGCAAATAAGAGATGACTATAACCCCCCAATATTAAAAGAATGACAGTGTCCATGTTTTGCTATAGGAAATCTCAAATATCTATTGGATCGAAGGAAAAACAGAAGTTGCACAATGACACTATGCAATAAATATTCTGTGAAAATCTCATTAAATTTTATTTAGTGTCATAGGAGTTGCGATTGACGGAGGGATGCCCTATAGGAAAACATGGACACTCCATTCTTTCTGTAATATCTGGCTACCCATCTCTTAATCGCGACACTAAATAAAATTTAATGAGATTTTTTTTCTGTGGGCATGAGCTCACAAAATAATACTCCCATACGAGTATAATGGAAAAGTCCTTTTTCTTTGCTATGGGGAATATCCAAATATCTGTCCGATCAAAATATAAGATATGAGGTGCTCAATGGTGCTACATGTATGTAATAAAGATTCTGTAAATGTTTTTCAGTGGCATTATTGGAGTAGCTGCGGATAAGGGATGAGTATAAACCCCCAATATTGTAGAAAGAATGGCAGTCCTTGTTTTGCTTTGGGAAACCCCAAAAATCGTTCTGTTCGAAATGTAAAATAGGAGGCCAAAATGGCACTATGTATACGATTGTGTGGAAGTTTCATTAACTGTTATTCAGTCCCTGTGGTATAGGAGGAGTTGCGTTTGAAAGATGGGTACCCTGAGACGTCTTACGGAGTTTTGTTTTTTTTTTTATTTCGTACAACTTGTAACACTGAAAGACGGGTGCTCGTAGTTTTTGTTCATTTCTTTCGTTTCGGCTGCATGGATTTTCCCGCCTATTTCCACATAGCTTCTAATTCGTCCTTTGATGGTGTCATACAAAATTTATTAATAAAATTCAAATACTGGCCTATTGGTACATAATTAATATTTAATATATATAACAAGTTTTTTTTAGGTAAAACTAGAGTGATAAATGAAATATGCAAATTAAGAAGTACACCAATGTATCTGTAAAAAGTCATAAGCAAGCATTTGGAGAGATTGGTAGAGTGATTTTGATATCTAGTCGGATTTGTTACTATACAACACAAATACGCATGTTATGATATTTACGGGACGTATATCATATACACCGGTACATATAGTGAGCTCTTGTTTTGAACATATTTTATTGACGGATTTGACACAAGGTCCAAAAACTTAGTTAGTGAGCTCTATCCTGTTTTAAATGGAAGACTTGTTACAGATACATCTTTCTTTTTGAATGGTGCGGATAAAAATAGAAAAAAGTTAAACCTTTTTTTTTTTAAAGAAAATAGAGCAAAAATTAGATGTCAAGTCTAATTTGTTACGCATTCAATTTTATACGTTTTCGCTCTTAGACAATGTATATGAAATAACGTCAAAAATGGATTTATTGCAAGAACAGACACAGGTTGCCATTTTAAAGGGAAATACAAACCTGTTACCAGCAGAAAAAATGATAAAAAGAAAAGAAGAAAACAAAGATAGAAAGTGAAAGAAAAGACAAAAAAATAGTTCTCGTTAAAAAAGTCAACATTGCTAAACGGGATGTTTAAGCACGGGTACTTTAAACGTATATGAAATCATTCTACATTCATAGTAAAACATGATGATATTAAAGATGATGAAAACAACACCGGTTATATAATTAAATGACAATAGATATTGTCGAACTATTATTACACTCAACCGGGGAAATATACAAAGATTTTGAACCTTGCATTTATTCGCGATATGAAAGATTTATATATACAAACACTTGGACATCAACGTTTAGCGTTGAATGACGCTAATTAATGTGACGTTACAATCTGTGCGCGACGCCTCGACTCTGAGTGTACCTGGCGTACGGACGAACAAACTATACGGATGTACGGACTGATACCCCCATCACTACTACATTTTCCGCCTTTCAATGGGGGGGGGGGGGGGTTAATAAAATAAAACAACAACCAAACAAAGTGCCACACCAGAAATGAAAAAAAAATAACTATGTATTGGTATGTGTGTGTGCGGGGGGGGGGGGGGGGGTGTCGGTTTTGCCTGGTATCAGTATGATCTTGCTGTACTAACAGATCGTGTATGACGTCACCAACTTGTTGGACGCGCAGTTTAGGGAAACAGAGGAGTGGATCAAACAATTTCATAATTTGTTAATGTTTACAAGAATGTTAAAACTATCATGGCCTTTCATCTAAGGGGAAGAAGGACCTTGAGCTGAAAAAATACTTGTCATTCAATTTTTTTTATATTTTGTATAGTTCTAATTAAGTATGTCCCACATATCTTAAAGCAGAAATATCATTAGGTTTCTGACCTTATTTTCGAGATATTGATTGACAAATACTATGTCCTACAGTATCTAAGTGGAGTTTTAATTTTCCATGTTTCCGGGCTCATTACTCTGTCCTCATTGGGATTTTTTAAGCATTTATAAAAAAATATGTAAGTGGACATGTATCTTTTAAAATATTTCAGAGTATGAATAGGGTTTAAAATTCGAAAAAGCAAGTTTCTTCTATCACTCTGCATCTGGATAGGGAAAATTACGTACTTTTTAAGACAACTTAAACAACATAAAACGTAATTTACAAAAAATTTTATCATTCAATATTTTTAAATTTACGTTGAAATGCAAGTCCTTCGTATTATTGATTAACTGTAAAAATTTCGAATGGTGAAGCTGACCTCAATATTGCACAGGACATCGTGAAAAAAGGCACAAGCATGACAAAACCGTGTCATGTTTACATTTCTCGAGTACGGGAAAAACCAACTATGACGTCACGCGTAAGCTAAATAAGCGAAATAAGATATACCTACATAAGATTTCCGTCATCAGCAATGCAAAAATAATTTTTGTGTTTCCCATTTCTCAAATATTTCATCACATACTGATTATGAGCTGTTTTTACATAATAATACCGCCCCTGTATTCACCGAGTATGATCTTGCTGTACTAACAGATCGTGTATGACGTCACCAACTTGTTGGACGCGCAGTTTAGGGAAACAGAGGAGTGGATCAAACAATTTCATAATTTGTTAATGTTTACAAGAATGTTAAAACTTTTTATTTTTTATATATATGATGGTAATCAAAGTAAAAAAAAATTGTCAAATATTAATACAAGAACTGATGGTTTACACGGTTTGCACTTATATAAACGGAGATTATGACGTAGTTAAACAGAGTCATGTGACCATGTGTCCTTCATCCCCTTAAGCCATTTTCCCTCATATATAGTGACTAATCCTATCAACTTCCGCTAGGATCTGTACGTGATTCGTGGGGGAGATGGGTGTTCCATTTTAAGGTTGCTTTACTATGATTATAATTCTTTTTAAAAAGAAATAGTGACACAGTATATTATAGTCTAAAAAGGTGGCTTGAATGCAGGGGGTAGTAGGAAACGGCGTCCTGTGTACAGACTGCGTCAGACTGACGGATTTGTACTCTAAGACAACCCATACACAATGATACACGAAAGTAACAGTGCATATGCGAGAAAATAAACACTTTAAGATTAACCTTTAATAATATCTTATATATTTCAAAGCTAAGAAATAGTTTACTTATTTTTAATATTTAGTAATATTTTTCATCTTCATTGGGCAATTTGAGAACTGTCCATGATATATAAAAAAAATACTGTAATTATCTGTCAGTCTTTCTTTCCTCAGTAGACATTTATTTTGTTTGTCTCCAAGATTAAATAAATGTTTCATCATTGTTTTTTAACAGAACTTATTTTAAAATAAAATTATCTTTAAAATTTATAAAACTGTACTTGACCCTAGATTTATTTATGGAATAAACACATTTTCTTTATATAAAAGAAATCTTTTTCTTAATCTTTAAAAAAAATGTCCTATCAGTGTTTAATACAATATAAAGTTTTTCGTATTTGACATTTAACTTGCTTAAAATCTTACAATGTGTACATTTTTTGTCAATATTTTTTCATTCATAAAATTTGCATTCAACAACTGAAACGTTTACTATAGTTGTAGCAGTACTCATGGGTATCAAGCTTTTCCAATACACAGATTTAGTCCAACATGAGTGGATAGCGTGCGCGCACTTGCTGTGACGTAGCAATCCATATACGGAATTGTGTCAATTACGGCGTAGAGTTTTTTGTGGGAAAAGGTCGATACTTTACGAGATACAAACAAGGGTGAAAAATAGTGATATTTTGTGTTAAACGATTTTTATTTACTACAGCAATCTATCTGACTGTTTTAAAGAGTGTCCTTTTCCTTAGACATGGGAATTTGGATGTGATTGATGAAATCAACTGTATATTGACCCAATTCTCTATCTGATGTGAAGATAAGATTCTAAACGGTTGAAACGTATATAGAAATTTGATTAATTTTTAATGTAAGTATTCATTGCTTAATTTATTTGCTGTCTGTGTAATTTATGTTTTAATTTGTGACAGTCGGTGGTAACTGAGGAAACATTATTGACTTCTCTTTTGTAATTTGGTCGGCCATTTTCAGCAAAAGCGTGACCTGGCTTTGGCCTTATAAACAGTGTTATCTGCTAATAACAGAGACATTATTAACCGTTAACAGTGTTATTTATTTCTAGAAATTAAATCTTTACATATTTTTTGTACAAATATCATAGGACTTTATATTCAAATAAACTGGTAAACACAGGCTTTAGGGAATTCCTGTTGGCAGTGTATTTGTTTACATGTTTGATCTATCGCCATTTTTTCTTTGTAGATATAATCTAGGTCATCTAAGGGGAGAACGCGGTTCTGGCAGCTAAATGTGTTATTGGACTAGCGGAGGGGCACATGCCGTAACCTAATAATGTGGCCCCCAGCAGTTCCGCTAGTGACCATGGGTCTTTCCCTTTTTCTACTGACGGGGAATGGTAAGTGAAAAGCTAGAGTGGGTGATGAAAGTTGGCCTTGAGGTCAGGTTGGCTCGAGCAAATTGGGGATTATACAATTTCTTGACCTAAAATCTCCCGAAGGTTAATCCCTGTCAGTGTGTTAGAAAATCTGATAAAGATTGGAATTTCAAATTCAAAGCAAAGTAAATTTTCTTGTATATAAAATGTGAAGATGTATGTACTTTTTGTGCAATAATCCATGAAACAGATTTGGGGTTTTCTTTTTATTAATCACTGTTAATTGCAGGTTGAATATGTTTTTAGCATTTATTACAAGGCTGTTCAATATTTTCATCATTGCAATTAAGATACACATGAAATTCATGTATTGGAAAGTACTTTTCCAAGATTTTCACTGCACAAAATTATGCTTACATGTATTAATAAATTCATATACCCCCCCCCCCCCCCCCAAAAAAAAAAAACAAAACAAAAAACAAAACAAAAAAACTTTATCTCAAATAGAAGTAGTTTTTAATAATTGATAAATTTTACAAAAGTTCTACTGTATTATTAATAATTCTGAATTCAACTTGACGACAAAAGAGACATGACATATAGTCAACTACCTTCACATGTACACAGATAATTCTTTTTATTTTAGGGATTAAAATAATCTTTTTAACAATCTGCATGTTTGATGTGAACTTTATGTATTTTACCTAAGTTTTACTAACATTTTATGCAAGGAACATATATATTATTCCAATGCATGATAAATTGTTAAAAAAGTAAAACATAAAGCTCCTTAGCTATGCTAAGTATTTAATAAGAATACATTGATGCAGAGTTTCCAAAAGTTTGTAAGATATTTTTGTTGAAAGAAGGAGTTGTGGAGTTCATTTTTTACATGCAAAAGGAAGATGACTTTAATTGGCATTGCCAATTTCACAGCAAGGTTGCAGTATAATGACCTTCTAAGCATTCATTAGAAGTACTTACAAAGACTGAGGTAGTTTAGTTGACTGCCCTGTAATAAGAGTCTTAATGTAATCAATAAGATGTCATTTAAGTAAGGGCATTTTATAGCCTGGCCATTGACAGGTGAAGTTAGGGGTGAGAGGTATTCCTAGCTGTTGTGTACAAGCTAAGAAAGTGTTTATACAGGCTAACAACCGTCGCATGGCCAGGCCATGCAGTACGATGTTTATTACTTGACTAAAGGGGATGGTGTTGGAGTTAATTTTGTCATTGATTTTGATATCAAGGCAGTCCTTTTTTTTGTTTTGTGTTTTTTTTTTATCTGTGGCTTCAAGGACATTGGACACATTGAAGGAAAATACAGTCTGTGTTTGTAAGAAAAAAAAACAGATACCTTCATTTCCTTTCAATAATACATCTTTTCAGCAATGTAACTTGCAGGTATTAATTTTCTATGCAGAAAGATTTTACATTAATATTTACTATAACTCATTTTAATATATTTGTAAACTTTTGACATCAGTAATCCATCTGTTGTTTACATCTCTCATGTTACCAGTACTTACCTGGTCGATAGTAAGTTATCAGCCATTATCTGCAGTACTCTTGTAGCAGCGGGCAATTTCTTAAATGGCGACTGACATTAAATTCATAGATGAAGTGTTTAAACCTCTGAAACAAAAATAAATATGGATCATGAGATTTTATTTATTGCGACAAGAGGATTACATTTTCTTGTTATTTTGAATATTTTCTGATATTATTGAATATATTGACAAGAATTTCATTTTCATGATGAAAATTCTTGATTAATAAGAATAGATAAAGAGTAATTAACCTGCTTCTAATTTATAGCTCACCTGAGCCAAAGACATGATCTTTACTGGTTGAAGATTGTCCAGCTACTGTCTTTCTGTCATTTGTCATTTATTAACTTTTCTCATTTTCCTCTCCAGAATCACTGCACAAATTTTGCACTCACTACAAAGCATTCTTGAGGAAAGGGGATTCAAATTTAATCAAATAATGGACCACATTCTCTTTCAAGGTCAGATAATTAAAGATAATTGTGAAAATATGATGGGATTATTTAAAAATCCCCCTCAAGAACTGCTAGGCCAGAAAAATTAAAACTTGATATGAATTACCAAATTCAATTCAGATTCATACTTGCTCCAATCATTGCCCCCTCCTCCCCCAGTGTTAGGGTGTAGACATGAAACAAAATGATGCCATAGTTTACCTTAGAAATGCATAGTTAAAAATTCTTAAAAAGCTTCCTCTGAAGAACATCATTGCAACAAAAAGTCAAATTAACGTGCAGTTACCCCTATGTAGAGTAGATTCAAGCTGGCTTAGGGTGGGGGCTCAGTTGATCAGTTTTACTTGAGGTAAAACAAGAAAAATCTTGCAAATAGTTTACACAGAATAAAAAGTAGCAATAAAGCAATTAGAAGAGGTTTCACTACATGTCTGTATTCATTTGCCATAAAAGTCCAGTGTGTTTCAGATGAGCATGAGGGCCCATGGGCCTCTTGTACTGTGACATTCTTCGTTTTTGTTGTTCCGCAATGACATAAGCACTGGTAGTACAAAGTCTGGAATGTTTATGGTAAATATTGTCCGTGGTCTGTTTGTTTAATATATGCTTGTCAACTCCAACATTAATTTTTGTATGATGATTGAAGAGAGTGACAGAAGGTTTTATCAGGTATTGCTAGAAATGAAAAGTCAATTTCTTTGTTCATGTGAAAGTTGTAGTCACCCTCTCCTCTCTAGTATCCCTTTCTTATGAAAAATATTTTGATGCAAGGTAAAATGGTATGACTTGTTACACAGACATTCTCTGGTTAAAAAAATGGGGTATGTCTTTTTACCACAAGGAACCACAAGGATACCACAAGGAATCACAAGGAACCACAAGGAACCCCAGGGATACCACAAGGTACCCCAGGGACACCATATACAACCTTAATTATTCTAAATATGGTTTATATGCACTTGTAAATTAGAAAAAAAATGTTTTTGAAAGACAAATTAACACTTTTAAATTAATTGTCTTAAATATAGAGGAGTTACCCAAGTTAAAAATTTATAGGTAATATTAATTAATTAAACAATTAAGCTCAATTATGCATGTTTAGTTTTGAAGAACTTTAATATTTTATATGGTGTAAATAAATAATCATGTTTTAACTATGATTTGTGTATTTCAATATACAAAACCAAAGGGCACTCACATAAAACCAAATAATACTCTTAAGGTACCACAAGAAAATCCCAGTGTGCCCTAGGACACCCAATTCAACATTAATAAATGTACATGTAAATATGGTTTATATTTGCACTTGTAAATGACACAGTAACTGTTTACTGTATATACTTCAATACACAAATCAAAAGGATACTCGCTTAAGAACCAAAGGATAGCCTTAAGTTACCACAAGGACATCCCAGGGTAACCCGAAAATTATCCCAAAATACCTCAAGGACACCCAGTTGGACCTTTATAAATCTAAAAATGGTTTTATGCTTTTGTAAATAACATAGTAACTGTTTATTGCATATTTTAATACACAAAAAAGGATACCAAGGAAACCCTAGGTATCTGAAGAATACCCTTAAGTATCCCAATAATGAGCCATATCACTGACATCCAATTCAGCTTTAATAAACGTAAATATGGTTTATGTGCATTTTTTAATTACATCATTATCTGTTTATTGTTTATTTCAATACAAAAAACATTTTTTTTAGGATTCAAAGGACCCCAAGGGTACACCAATGACACCTCATTCAAAGTTAATAAATCTATAAATATGGTTCATACATGTATGCATTTGTAATGCATTTGTAAGTTAGATACATGTAAGTCTTTGTTTACAAAAAAACATCATCTTAAATTTATAACACACTCATTTTTTTTTTATTTTGTAATTAAAGGCACTTCATTGTTCGGAAATTGTAAACCATTTATGGGTATAGTTTTTCATACTTTCTATACTTGAATGAGGATGCAAGTTTTTTTCCCCAATATAGTTGCACTTCTGACATAAATAATTTATTTTATGTGTTAAATACCAGGGGCAGAAGGGGTTTTAAAAGAAATAATTTGAAAATGGCACCGTATGCATTTTCTCAACACAATTGTAAGCACTTTCAAAAGAAGATTTTCAAAAAATGATGCTTTTTCACTATATTACCAATAGATCCTCACCCTACACCAGAACCCCTAGCTTACCCACAGGCCATAAAGTTTCACAATTTTGTAAGAGGCACCCTTGCTCATATATGCATCTCACCATGCAATTATTTGTAACATGTTTGGCTAATTTAATATCCTAGAGTAAAGAATATTTTGAAAGAAATAATGCTTTTTCACCAGATTACCCTAAAACCTGACCCCTGGGCCACAAATTTTACAATTGATAGAGAGCTCAATTAATGCTTATTACATTCATGTCAACAGTTTGACTATTGGATTTCCAAGAGTAAAGAAGAAGATTTTAACAATTGCATATACAATGTATTTTGATGGTTTTAGTCCCATCCTTCAAGCCCAGAAGGGGAGAGGGGTCAAGGACCATGAAATTCAAAATTCATGTTTCCCTTTACCTATAAAAACTGGTTAACTTTACCCATAAAACTGGTTAAAATTGGTTCAGTGGTTCAAAAGAAGCTGAAAATTTAAACATTTTATGACCAATGAACAACAAACATAAACAAATCACAACTGGTAGGTCACCTGAATGACTCAGGTGACCTAAAAAAATTATATTTACAATAAACAGTTTACTTTGTAATTAACAAATGAACATAAATCATATTTAGATTTATTAAGGTTGAATGGAATGTCATTTATTAATCTAAGTGGTTCTTTGTGTTTGTTTGTTGGGATTTCATCATGATCCTAAATGTCCCTTGGGGTTCTTTTATTCTTTATGTTTTGTATTATACAAATATACAATAAACAGTTATAATTCATAATTAACAAGTGCATTTTAACCATGAAAAGATTTTTTAAAAGTTGAATTGAGTGTCATTTGGATTTTCTTTCAGGTACCTTGGCTTATCCTAGTGGTACAGGGGTTATCATTAGGATTCTTCTTGGATATCAACTTTTGGTTTGTGTATTGACTACTGCAATACACAATTAACCATTAACTTTTTGTACATCATAAAAAGATACAATAATTTAACTGTTCCTCTGAACTATAAATGCATAATTTAGCTTAAATAAGTATATTTACTTTTAAATTTTTAACTTCGGTAACTCCTCTATATTTAAGACAATTAATTTAAAAGTGTTAATTTGTCTTTCAAAAACATATTTTTTTTAATTTACAAGTGCATATAAACCATATTTAGAATAATTAAGGTTGTATATGGTGTCCCTGGGGTACCTTGTGGTATCCCTGGAGTTCCTTGTGGTTCCTTGTGGTATCCTTGTGGTTCCTTGTGGTACCTTGTGGTAAAAAGACGCACCCAAAAAAATGTACTGGTACACAATTGTACTTTAAGTTTTGAATAAGCCACCACCAAAGGCTATCACAAATATATTTTGTTATTTCACTTTTATATTAAGTGAAGAGGAAAGAAGAAATCTCCCACTTATGCTGCTTTTGTGATTGAAAAAAAGTACATCTTTTGACATGTTGTTGGCCTTTTCTGCATCACCTGGACAGAGTAATAGGCCCGACCTCTTGACCTTTGTTTTGATTATCCCTGAATGAATACATACACATACTTGGAAGTTATAAGCATGTAACCATGACCCCTCTGTACTTTACAATTAAGGGTACATATTGTACGATAAATCCTGTGACTGTCATAGATGATAATTTTTCTTGGAAAGTGAGAGACAAACCGGGGGGAGGGGGGGGGGGGGGATATGGCATTGGGTGTAGCATTTGATTGGAAAGAAGATTGACCCAGAAGCAGCAACTAAGACAGGTTTCATTCTGGTTTAAGAGCAAAAGCCTTGATGGGATGGTAGTGGAAATATCTTTATAAAGAGTCTCTTAGTTCTTGTAGGTATGCGTATCATTAAAAGTAAACGTATTTCAACCAAATATTGATTTCAACAATATAGCTTGAACTTTTTTAGTTTCACATTTACAAAGTACACTACATAGGTGTAGAGATGACTCAATACGATGGTAAAAAAAAAACTATCTGTGGCAATTAAGTCTCTCCGATTTTGATTTGAACCGAATGTTTCATGATGCATCATGCGTAGCTTTAATTACAAGCTGTATACGTCTTTGTATTGGGGTGAAGCTGAGAGGTGTGGGCTTTATCTTCAAACTGGAGATATTATGTTCTGCAAAACCCTTGTTTATTTCTCAACCTTACCACATCAAAGAGCCATTTCCTCAAGGTCAAGGCTAAGTAGTGTGTTGAACATGGTTATACTTCCACCTCCTAAGGGTTTATTTACATCAGGAACACGTATCTTTTGGGGGGAAAAAAAAAAAGAAAAGAGCTGGCAGAGTTGGAAAAAATAGCAGGAATTTATAGTAGCGGAGTGTGGATGAGAATAATTAGGGTTTAATGCATGCATATTCTTTGGTGCTAGAAAGAGCATAGTTATTGGCCAATAAATAAAACAGAGAGTCATTAATTGGAAATTTGGCAACCACCACGTATTGGGCATAACAGTAACACACAAATAGCTCAGGTTAATTTGATTTTTTTCCCTCCCATCTTAAAGATTATAGATAAAAAATGACTTGCCAGAGATTATGAGGCCATCAGAGTGCTCTTTTTTTTTGGTGAAATAAACTTACTTGACCAATGGGTTATTTTTATGCACATATTAAAGAGGTCTTTAAGATGTTCACTTGCATTCATTCAGAGAAGATATTTGATTACAAGGAAACCAAGGGAATTTCTTAGGTTAAAGATACTACAGAGACCCAGATTACATTGAATTATTGAATGGTTTAGAAGGATTGTTGCAACTTTATTTTATTTCGTGCTGAAGTTCATAGAAAGTCAATATACAAAACTAGTCATAGAAATGCCCCAGGGTGATTAAAATTTTAGTAGATATGCAGTACTGCAGTGATATTGATTATTTTTAAAGATGGAGATAATATCATAATATTTTTCCCCAAATGTATGCAGTGATGCATGCAATGTCGTCACAGTGCACATTATTCTGTCATTTATTTTTGTTGACGTTTATGAAATAGCTAAGCATCTGAAGTTTGATAATCATATCAAATTTTCTTCTTTACTTAAAGTTTGTACTTTTGAGTGGTTCTCTGGCCTTTTTTTTTTGTTTCTTGTTTGAAAGATGCATGAATATTAATATAAAAATATGGGAGGAAAAATAAGATTTAATCACCTCAAATGTTTAACTTGCATTTTTTTTCTTTTCAGTATATTTCTGACATAAAGTTTTCACATTTTCAGTTTGACTTTTTTATGATCACTAGACTTTATTCCATTAAGTTTGTCATTAAATGTCTGGGGGTGAAGAATTTATTGAATTATTTTCCTTTTTCAAGTCCTTTCTGAGGGATGATAATTTAAGAAGTAAGATCATGTTTACAACCACCAAAAAAAGCTCCTTTATTCCCCCTTCCCATTTTTTCTCATGAAAGTTTCCACTTTTGCAAATTCATAGTCACTTGAAACAATATGCAGAATTTCAAGAATCATAGTTATAGGTCAAACTTCAATTTGAAAAAAAAATAATATATTTGAAGTGGTAACAGTTTTATAGAAGAAAGAGCACTTTCTCTTCCTTTGAGAAAGCTATGTTAGAGAAAAACTGTATGCACATAAATCACCGATATTTAAAGACTAGTATAGCTATCATAATGGTGCCTAGTTGCATCTATTATCATTAATGCAATATGCATGTTTATTATAGTCAGTAAAAAAGTAATTGATGAGTGAGAAGGAACCAGTACTTTGATATTATGCTAGGCACATTCTGGTATTCTCAAAGTTTTCACGCTAGTTTTCAGTATTTTTTTTTTTTTCTTGTTGAAATTATACATGTGCATAAAGTAATCATTAAATCATGATTTGTTAACTTTTGTTTTACTAACTTGAAGCAGATTTCTTCAATCAAATTCTTAAAGATTAACAATGTTGTTAAAAGTGCCCCACAGAGCTTTTAATTACTTTGATCTTGTGAGAAGTTATAGTTTGGGATTTCAAGAGGTACAAACACATAAAGCTCACTCATGCATTTGTGAAGTCTAGCAACAATTTAATGTAATTAATAAATAAATTTGTCAAATAAATAGCTAGTATGTCTGACAAAGCTTCAGAAGTTTGAAAACTTGATGAATTTGTATGTATATGCGAGTCTTGTTCATTGGTTAATAAAAAAAGTAATTTGTATAATGTAACAGACTTCAGTAATATGAACTCTCTCAATTTTATACAGCACACTATAGCAAAAAATGCAATTTACTTGAAAACTTTAAAATGTTCTGCTTAAAACACAGACAATTTTAGATCATACATTATTGATTTTCTTTTAATTGGCCTAAATAGAAGGTGGTGATTTTTTTTATTATCTTAATCCATTACGTGAATTTTCAGATAGCATAACATGGCTATAAAAAATTGCCCCAGATGATTCAAACAGATTGTTTAATATTTACCATTCCAGACAAAGAATTCTTGTGACCAGACTCTGTTCATAATCACCTTTTCATTAAATGAATAACTGAAACAAAAGCCCCTGCTAATCTTTTACCAAAACAAACATCTAAGTAAACATAAAACTGGTGTAAAGATTCTGCATCCTAATTTATAAGACATGAAACATATGGCAGATTTCTTCTGGGTTATTGTATACCAATTTCAAGGTCAAAGGTCAAGTGATGGTTAAATTGGATTGCATTATTGAAAAAAATATCATCTTAATATTCTTATTTATTGCTATAATTTACTGATATGCCAAGGTTAGGGTGAACTTCCAGTGTTGGTTGCAATTGAATTTCTGTAGCAGTTTACCTGAGCCAATCATTAGATCATTCCATAGAGATGAACGTCTTTTATTAGCAGAGGTCTAGGTCAGTGCCAACAACAGGGTCAGGGATCTAGGTCAGTGCCAATATCAAGATCAGAGGTCTAGGTCAGTGCCAACAACAATGTCAGGGATCTAGGTCATTGCCAATATCAAGGTCAGAGGTTTAGATTGGTTCAATATCAAGGTCAGAGGTATGGGTCATTGCCAATGATAATATTCAAAACACATCTTTGTGATCGTTCTATGCAATCTCTATGTGTGAATTAAGTTGATGATCCACACAGGTCATCAGCAACAGAGATAAACAATCACTAGGTCAAAGGGCAAGGTCAAGGCTAACCTTAATTATAGTTTTAATTACTTATCCTCATTTAACTGTTGTATTGTAATTGGTTGTATTAAAAACATTTGCTCTTCCTATGTGAAATTGAAGATCATGCTTTGGAAATGTTAGAGCTGTTGTCACAGCTATATAAAGTGTTGACAAAGATAGACAGAAGGACAGACAGAAAAGAGATAGATCTTATTTCTATAACCTATGGTCCAAAAACAACCACTTTATGCAGAAAGGCCTACAGTTTAAATCTGTTGTATTAATGTAAGATGATCAATAGTAATTGTTCCAAAGTGAGACCAAAAATTGTCTTTTTGCCAGTGTTGAATAAACATAATTTTTCTTTAATTTTCAGGCCTTGCAGGGTCACAACCATGTAAAATTGCATTTCCAATGAATACTCAGTACATCTCAGCTTATTATGACACTGTCATTCAAGGGAAGGGGTGTACTAGCAGTGCTACAACTAACAGCTCAGCGGAGGTTCACGCCATCAACCTCCTTAATGCTGGCCCAGTGTTCAGAAATGACATGGCTGAAGTGCACTTGTTGATCAAATCTCGGATAGAGGAGAAAGGTTAGTATTGCACATTTCACTCTCATTTAAGTCATGTCTTCATACATGTATGTATAGTTCCCTTCCTTTTACAGGCTGCCAGAAATGGCCAGAATGAATTACAAAGTATACAAAATTGTGTCAAGCACTAAAAGAATTTACACAAAATCTGTTTTTGTCAAAAGTAATTTATAATAATTTTCATTTCACATTATTGTTCTGCGTTGTTTGCTGCTTGTGTTAATTCTTTGATTTAGTGTTAACATCTCCAGAAATTATTACGAATACACGAGAACTTTGTATCTCAAACATCGATATCTCCAATACCCTGAATATGCTAAAGTGAGATGAAGGTCACAACTGGTTTTTATGTATATGTCAAACCTTCAGATATCTTGGAAGTTTTTTCTCCACTTCAATTGAGTTCAAAATAACAATGTTAGACTCTTTGATAATATTTTTGTTGACAATTTTGCCTTTAATATTTTGCTGAACATTTGTACAATACCTTTGTCAGTGAGATACAAAATTTGATTAGGGGGCAACACGACCTTAAGCTGTAAAGCAATGGATTCTAACATCTGTGTAGATATTACGTCTTACCCTACATTTCTTAATTAAAGTCAGGTACTATCAACAGTAAATCACAAATCACAACTGATCCTCATTGTAAAAAACCCAAACTCTAAGCTATAATCTGTTGAGGGAATTAATTCCCTCAATACTAAAGTTGTAAGTTAATCCTGTGATAGGCTTAATAAAAATAGAAATGTCAATATGTATGTTAATCCTCTTAAAACAAATGGAAAGTTGACTACGTCATTCTGTGCAGGAAACCATTTATCCTAATATTTTACTGGTACATATACCATTTAAGTCATTGCTGATAGGAGAGCAATGCAAAATACATGTACTCATGTTATAAATTAAAACACAGCCATCAGTTTGGAAGTGTGTTATGGAGGAAGAAGACATGTGACTTAAATCTTTTGCCAATACTTGAAGGACAAATCAATACTTTGATCATAATGAGTAACTTAACACTTCATCCCTAAAGAAAATATTTCAAAAATATCTAAAACTGTCCAAAAAAGGGTCTGTATGTATCAAAACTATTATTGCTTGAAAATATAGCCTGGTAGGGAACCAAGTGAGGATATAAATTCAGGATGGTGTACCAAGTGAAGATACAAACTCAGGGTGGGGTACCAAGTGAAGATACAAACTCAGGGTGGGATACCAAGTGAAGATACAAACTCAGGGTAGGGTATCAAGTGAGGATACAAATTCGGGGTGGGGTATCAAATGAGGATACAAACTCAGGGTGGGGTATCAAGTGAGGATACAAACTCGGGGGGGGGGGGGGGGGGTTACCAAGTTAGGATACAAACTCCGGGTGGGGTATCAAGTGAGGATACAAACTCAGGGTGGGGTATCAAGTGAGGATACAAACTCAGGATGGGGTACCAAGTGAGGATACAAACTCAGGGTGGGGTACCAAGTAAGGATACAAACTCAGGGTGGGGTACCAAGTGAGGATACAATCTCAGGGTGGTATCAAGTGAGGATACAAACTCAGGGTGGGGTATCAAGTGAGGATACAAACTCGGGGGGGGGGGGGGGGTTACCAAGTTAGGATACAAACTCAGGGTGGGGTACCAAGTGAGGATACAATCTCAGGGTGGTATCAAGTGAGGATACAAACTCAGGGTGGGGTATCAAGTGAGGATACAAACTCAGGGTGGGGTATCAAGTGAGAATACAAACTCAGGGTGGGGTTCCAAGTGAGGATACAAACTCAGGGTGGGGTTCCAAGTGAGGATACAAACTCAGGGTGGGGTACCAAGTGAGGATACAATCTCAGGGTGGTATCAAGTGAGGATACAAACTCAGGGTGAGGTATCAAGTGAGGATACAAACTCAGGGTGGGGAATCAAGTGAGAATACAAACTCAGGGTGGGGTTCCAAGTGAGGATACAAACTCGGGGTCGGGTACCAAGTAAGGATACAAACTCAAGGTGGGGTACCAAGTGAGGATATAAACTCAGGGTGGGGTACCAAGTGAGAATACAATCTCAGGGTGGGGTACCAAGTGAGGATACAAACTCAGGGTGGGGTATCAAGTGAGGATACAAACTCAGGGTGGGGTATCAATTGAGAATACAAACTCAGGATGGGGTTCCAAGTGAGGATACAAACTCAGGATGGGGTACCAAGTGAAGATAAAAAGTCAGGGTTTGGTACCAAATTAGGAGGGTTTGGTACTAATATTTCCAAAATATATAAAACTGCCCAAAATAGGGTCTGTGTATCAAAACTTTTATTGCTTTAAAATAAAACCTGGTAGGGAACCAAGTGAATATATAAACTCAGGGTGGGATACCAAGTGAGAGTACAAACTCAAAGTTTAGTACTAAGTCAGGATACAAACCTAGGTTGGACCCCACCCTCAGGATACAAACTCAGGGTGGGGTAACAAGTTAGAATACAAACTCAGGGTGGAGTACCAAGTAAGAATACAAACACAAGGTTGGGTGCCAACTGAGGATACAGACAAATTTTTACCAAGTGAGGATACAAACTTTTTTTTTTTGGGGGGGGTGTTACCAAGGGAGGGGTAACAAATGAGGATACAAATTTCAGATGGGGTACCAAGTGAGGAAATAACTTCAGGATGGGTACCAAAATATTGGAGGTAACAATGTCCTACTTCTTAGGAAGCGTACGTTCTGCAGAGTAGCTTGACATATGATTTGCCAAAAAAACAGGAAGAGTTCACCAGATGGTCTTATGATAGGAGTGAACTGTGGTAGTTTATTCCAGCCATGTTGGCAAAATATCAATCTATGTTTGAGGAGGTAAAGGTGTTAAGATAGGGTAATCAACGAGCAGGTAGTGTTGAGACCACAAGGGTAGCAGTACATTTACAGGTGGAGGTGGGGCAAGGCTAAAAGTTAACATCTGAAGCAATCAAGTATAAAAATGTTCATTTATTGCTTGTCATTATAAACAATTCAGTATTTAAATGTTTGTAAAAAAAAATTATATAAATTTGCCTATGTGTTTCTAAATGATCGCATTTTTTACTCTTATATATGAGGTCTTGGCAATATTATAAATATTATAATTTCTGTCAACTCATTATTTTACATATCCCTATCCCTATAATCATGATAATATACATGATACATATCTGTATCCCTATAACCATGTTAATATACATGATACATATCCCTATCTCTATAATCATGATAATATACATGATACATATCTGTATCCCTATAATCATGATAATATACATGATACATATCTGTATCCCTATAACCATGTTAATATACATGATACATATCCCTATCCCTATAATCATGATAATATACATGATACATATCTGTATCCCTATAATCATGATAATATACATGATACATATCCCTATAATTAGGGATGGGTATCGGCAAAAATTTCGTAACGTGATATATCACGATTTTTTCCCAAAAATATCACGATAAATTGTGATATTTTTACACGCATTTTTTACTACAATTTCAAATGAATTTCCATAATATTTCTTAAAAATATGCTATAAAAACATAACTTTACTTTTTAAATTTTCATTTATTTCATATAAAGCACGTTTTGATGCCATTGTTTAACTGTTTTCAACACTTTTTACACTTCCTCTTATTGTCATTCAATAGTTTGGGCAAATAAATGAATAATTTCCGGCATTTATAGTTATGTACCAAATACCGGTATTTTAGTCTCCGCATCACGATACGTATCACGCAATAAAAAAATCGCGATATACCGGTATACCGATAAAATCACGCATCCCTACCTATAATCATGATAATATACATGATACATATCATCATGATAATATACATGATACATATCATCATGATAATATACATGATAGTGATGATACATATCCCCATTATACAAATATTTTCATAGAAAATGCAATTATGAAAATTTCATGTTATCCTACTAAGGAATTTTCTCTCTTAGATTTTTTTCTCAACAAACTGTGAGAATATCTTTAAAAGGAAAACTGTCACATTTTTTTCATTTTGTTTCCATAGTAAAGTACTAAAGAATTTTAAGATAATACTGTATACAGGGAAATTTTCACCTCCGTTTTATTTTCGCCCTTTTCACCCTTCTCACAGGTGGGTGAATTTAAAATGGGGCAAATTCAAAGAACACAGCATAATTTCTTAAACAAAACTGTGACTGAGCAAATTGAAAACAGGGCAAAATTGCTTGCAGGTGTGAAAGGGCAAAAATAACAGAGGGAAAAAATATCCTTGTATACAGTAATAATCTTATTATTTTGACTCAAGATATTAATGTATTGTTGGCTAATATATTTTGTTACTATCTTGTAGTTTGAAGCAGTATGATTTTGCATAAACTAACTATGATTCACTTACTAACTGCTTATGTCTTGTTACCAATTTGGAAACATTAATAAATTATTTTTAATAGATCAAAAAGTTGACAACTCTCCCCCAAGGAGTTAAGTTTTGGTACCCTTTAATTTAGACTCCAAAAAAAAGAGATATGTGCAGCAGAATTTAAAATGACAACAGGCAAAGAATTAAGATCTTTTATAAGGTCCTAGTCTTTTGACATACTTGATAAGTTGGATGTGTGAATTGTCAAATTATTCACAGTTCAAAAACATGACTGTCAACTTAGACATAAACATCACACCATAATACACAGCACAGTCGGCAGTTTGAATTTTATAGCTTGAAGAGATTTCTTAAACACATAGAGGAAAATGTCTTGCATAATGTTGAAAAACAAAGGCCTATTATTTGGATATTAAATTTCATGTTTATAAATTCCTCTGGAATATTTCTTTTGTTTGATGGTCATTAATTCTGAGAGTGATGAATCTGACAAGGTCTTTTGGCCTCAAACAAACTTTTCAAAGGTCATAAGGCCAACGTACCTTAGTTGGCGTATAGTTTTGTATGATAGATCTAATGATCTAGGCCAAATACCTGGATTATATTTGTAAAGTAATGCAAAATTACTTTACTCATGTAAATTTTATACAGATATGAATAGACTTGATATTATTAATTAATTGATTTCTATTTTAAGATTTAACAAAAAAATTTAAAAAAACAATGACAAATGACAGTTTTACAATTATCCCATTGTTGTGTATTTATAGATATATTTGATCTATATATTTAAAACAAAGCCCGTTTTTATTCTTTTTTTTTCTTTTTTTTAAAAAATATTTTCATTAGCTTACATGAACCAGTGGCTCATTTGAGCTTTCCTGATGGACAATTGTTATGACCTTGACTTAGGGTCATTCAGATAAGTTCAAGGTGTGGCAGAAAAAGTCAAACATTTTTGTCTGGTCAACAACTTCCTAATGGGGCCAAAATATAATTATTGTTTGTTTGGAATTGCTGCCCGCCTCAGTGAAATACAGCCCTCAAGCCCCCCCCCCCACCCCCCCCCCAACTGAAAAAAATTTATGGGCAAAAATTAAGATCTTTTTTTAAAATTGTTTTATGTCTTACAATGTTTACGATTTAGTTTGTTTGTTAAAATAGTTCATCTCCTCATTAATTTTAACAACACCGATCAATAAAATGCTTTCTTCGTAGTATTTCTGATATTGCGATTAGAAGCCTCCTCGACAAATGAAAGCCACCAAAATGTCAGACCAGACTAGAGGTAGAAAACGTACAAACGTAGAAGAGTCGAGCATTCCTTTATGCCTCACCATACAAATGAATGGTGAGGTAAAAATAAATAAAAGGATATACAGTTTTAGTAAACATGATACTGGCAGAAATTGCAATTGAATTGGACAAGTCCATCATATCGATATTGAAATTGAAAAAGATTGTTATAGGAGTTGAGTTATCATCCAAATTACATGGATCAGAAATATTTTGTCCCAACATTGAAGAGGAAATAGATGTTGTCTGTTAGTTTGACAAGTCTTTGAAACATGTAACATTTAAAATTAATTCAACAAGGCAAACACACAAGATTACATCAAGCACCCCTCCCCCTTTTCCACAAAACAATCCAACTGTCCTACAGTATATATTATTGTATTATTCATTCTATAACACTCAATTGGAGTCTATTGGAAGTTGATATTTGACATATAGATTGCTTATGACTTCAGGGAGTGTTGTGATCTGACCCAAGGTCATTTTGCATGTTAAAGGTCACATTTGGACCATGGTATATTTGAACTTTGAAAAAAGGCAGCTGGGGTATAATTTTGTGAACTTGCTCACTTACCTCCAGTTTTTCCAACAGTGACCTCAAGGATAGGGTTGGTGCCACAGATCAGGAACAGAGTAATGTGTAAATTTATATAGATGTCCACAAAGATCACTGGTGGATCCAGGATTCTTAAAAAAAAAAGTGGGCTGGGAATTGCCACCTTTAGGCCCTCCATGGAGGCATATTGGAAGTTCCTATATTTTAGGGGGTTTTTGGGGGATACTTATTTTGGCTATACTTTATGCAATATCTAACAATATAAAAGTCTATTTATTATTTATGGTAGTTCTAATAGGAACCCTCCCCCTTTCAAAATCAGCCACAGAGAATAAGAAGGATTCATGTGAAAATTTGACATCAAGCCTCAATTTATTGACTTTAATTTAAGAAGCCAGTGAAGTGTTTCATTTATTTAAACATACGCACTAAATCTCATTCTGAGAAAGAGAATGTTCACTCGGGTAAGCTTTGGGGCCCATGGGCCTCTTGTTAATTTCTTTTTTTTTTATCTATCAACAAAAAAAATAAATAAATGGAAGAATATATGTTAATTTTTAAGAATGTAAACAATAGATAAGCTTATATGAACATTGATATGGAAGTAAACAGAATACGAATGTGTCTCTAATTTTCAGTGGATTATTGTCATACATGTAGTGAAGTGGTCTGTAGAGAGTCTCAGAGACAGCAAATTTAAGATCCAGGAAAAAAATTCACATTCAACAAATTTCTTTCATTTTTATTACTGACTTATGTTCCCTTAACTTTGATTTATAATTTTCTTAATTTGTTTTAATGTGGTATTCATTTATGCTTTGTTTATGAAATAAAATTTTATAATAAGTTTTTAAGTGGACCTAAAGTGCATTTTGACCAAATTCAGAAAAAAAGGTAATTACATTATTATTGTTAAAAAAATGTGAATTAGAAAAGAAAGCCTGGGTACCTGTACTTTTACTGTAGGTTATTGTAAACAAGATATTTTTGTTACAAGGAAAGTTCTCAGATTGTTAGCAAAAAAAAATGAAAGCATTTAATTGCATTGTGGTATATTACTACCGTAATAGTACACAGAGAAAGTACTTGATATATGACTATTTGTCGTGATGAGTACATTGAACTGGGACATATTTGGTCCAAGATTATCATCAGTTGTGTTCCATATATAGAAAATCAATGCTATTCAAAAATCAAACAATAAATATCTACAACTGTGCCATTTTCATCAACTTGACAGTATTGCACAGAATTGATAGAAATGTCTACTGTGAGGAGCCGGGAATTCTCAGAGGTCGTCAATTGAGAGTAGAGAGACATTAGGTTTGCTGAAATAATGAAATGCACTCAAGGTTCTTCTTTGTATATAGGAATGTTTTATTCTGTAAAATAGAAAAAAAAATCTTTTGTTTAGTTTATGTAACTGTTAAATCCAATAATGGAAACAAGCAATAGCATGAAACTTATGTTCAGGAGGGCACTTCATTTATTTAATTTTTCTCCCTTTTGGAGTGTATTCTGCCTGTGTTTGAATCATATGATTTGAAATATTGTTTACACCAATTTTAGAGTTGTGTAACCGTAATATTTTGAACAAGTACAATTATTCATTACACATCATTTAATTTGAAATATGATCACAACGCTTTTGAAAAGGCCATGATGCCATGATATGGTTTAGCTTTAGATTCAATTGTGTGTCTAGGTGACTTTTTGATGCCTATCTGATGGTGTGCTCTAAATATATAAACAGATTATTAAATTGTTTGCAACCCTGCCTTGATATGCTTTCACAGTGCAGCTCCGGCAAGAATTGAAAGGCAAATTAAAAAAGCCAAGGTCACAGATGTATCATCTATTGTCAGTTAACTATATGCCTGAATTACTTTTATCTTCTCTACAACATACTTGATACTTTTCTGTTGTGTGAATTGTGGTATTGTTACAAATCTAATTGTAATATAGACATATTCTAGCTAAATGCCTTGTACAGATGACCTATTGATAGGAAAGGTAATGCAGTATGATTGTAAATGGAAACGTTACTGATCTGTTTGAGGGAAAACAAAATAATTAAGTCACTCTCTCTAATGAGCCACTTGGTTTTCAAAAGTGTCATTAAAAGCCACTCGAGAGTACAATTTGACATTGAACCGACATTTAGATTTTGTCGATATAAAACTCTTGATAATACAAGAAATAATGAATTATTTGTGAAGAGTCCACTTTATGAGAATGTTTTCTTCTGTTTTTCAGCTTATTTGGAACCCTTCATATACGTATTGAATTCGAGGCAGCCTGTAAGATGGAAGATTCGAACGGATATTACCCTGGCATCAAAGAAACGGCATCTCTTTGTGGTAGCTGTTTTGCCTAGCTTCTTTTGCACTTTAACATCATTTGTACTGCAATATCATTATGTAACAGCACATAAACTGAGTATGAAATAAAAGAATTTTATTTCGAAATCCTAGAAAGAATAATTATTTTTTTCCTCATTTACAAGCCAACATTTTTATGTTGTATTCTTTTGATTATAGATTCCGTCATATTCAAGCATTCGCCTTGTTAGTAGTGGTCAGAAAAAGCAAGTCAGGAAGAACACAATGCCACAAGACACCGCAGCCCTGATGTCTTGGGTCAAGACTGAGTACAAAGCCCTGACGTCGTACACAGAGCTCAGGAGAGGAAACCAGATGACACTGAGTATTGGACTAGGTAGGGAAAATATTAAAGCAGAAAAGGGGTGGGGTTGTAGACATGTGAGAGTAGGATTACGTAAGGAAATGAAACGATGTCATCATGATCATAAACACACAACTTTTATTGGATCAAAATTTGTAGTCGAATAAAAGCTTCTAGGATAGCTCCTGTCAGTTTATTCTAACTACAAGTTGCCCCACACCAAAAAAGAAAAGGTTTGGAAAATACAAATTATTTGTTTATCAAGGATATTACTGCTGTATATACATATATTAGTTGGGAAAAATATTATCAATTATACATCTTTTAATTTTAAATTTTTTGAACCAATTTACATTTTTCTGGATTTGATCAACTGTATGAAACATTTCATTTGGGGTTAAACCAATAGTTGTAAAATATATCATTTTTTTGCAGATGTGTTACTTTGTTATTTTTGAACTTTAAAAGAATTTTAATTCGGATTTTTAGAGTTGGAGTGGTACCAGATATTTTGAACAAATGAGAGAAAGTTAAGGCAATTGTATCAAAACAGCTGCACCAGATTTTGTGCAAATTGATCAATTGTTTCTGAACTCATCATTAAAAATGACCCAGAAATTAAGTTGAATGGAGCTATTTGCGGATGTCATACAATAACCGGCTATTGATTTTCTCCCATCTGCAGTGCATATTAGCTTTAATAATCTCAATTCATTGACAATGTGTGGAAAGTTTAATAGTGAGAGCTGGATATTGGATTCTACCTATTCCACTATGACAATGTTTTAAAGAGATAAAAATGATTATACAAAAGTGCCAGGTTTCAAATTCATAAAAATTGTTACATTATTCATGCAAGCATTTGTGTAACAAAATGCAGATTGTACCTCATTTCTTTTTTATTACCTTGTTTTATGTGTGTAGAACAAATACTTAATGTTTAAACAATGAGCATGGCATAAAAACCCCATTTAAATCAAATTGCTTTTAAAGAATTGTGGGATATATCAGATGAATATCAGGGAGCTTTGTGAGATTTTGATAGATTCTTTTGGAAGGTTCTGTCAAGGCCATGGTAAGGCCACTGTAAACAGGAACATGTCAGAACATCACAGTATTGACTAGTTAAACCTCAAACACTGCCTTTGAAAACCTCTAGTATACACACATCTATTTTCAAAATGATTCTCGACCTGGAAATATAATGGCTCGATCAAAATATTTTTAAACATGCAAAGGAGTGAGATATTTTTGATGCTACTTATAACTCTCTATTTTGAAATACCAGCAATTCTTATGAGATATATTTGGCTGATTTAAATGGGTAATATGTAATTGCTATCTTTATGAAATAGAAAGGGGAAAATTTATGGGGTAAAAAACAAGTAATGCATAATTATATCTGACAATGTAGAAAAAGAGATATGAGAAATTTCAGTAAATAATCATAGATATGTTCATGTGAATCATAAGCTGCCAGGGATTCAGTGCTAAAATACATCACACCTCAGTATTTGAAACCCATTAACAATGGTAACTTTCTCAATTATTAAATTTGAGTCTCTGTAAATCATTTGCATATTGATAAATTTTATGTAATGACGTCAGAAAAAAGATTTAAAGCTAACAAAAAAGGGGGAGAATGAGCTACAATGAGGTATCTGTTACATCTCCTTCCCTACCACTGTTACACGTAAAACGAGAGGGTAAAATTTGACTGTGATTAAGAGCTCCATTTCAATTCTAGCCATGTGTTTTACATTGTAATCCAGCTGTTTTAGGGACCCCACATGTGGATATCCTCAGATCTCCCCAGGTTTTGTTTTGATCTCGATTGCATTGTGACTTCACAAGTTGTTAACTGGTGATTCAAGATGCTATTTGTGATTGTCTAATGTCACTTTAGGTTATCCTCATGTGTTACAAATCTGATGCTGGTGCGGGTATTCCTGGCTCCTATGACAAGCCTCATAAATCTCAAGTTAAACATAAATCAGGCAAAGGGTAAAATCCAAATAAACTGTACAGAGGATTGAAGAAGTATTAAAGTTTTCTGCAGAAATTTATCAAAGTTGGATTCTGATTGGTTGAAAGTCAAAAATAGTAGAAAAATGTAGTATATATTGTTGGTTTCACAGTTATTTTGGATATTTATGCATCCATGGTGTAAAATGGAAATCTGTAATGGATAAGGAGAAACTAAGTCCCAAACTACTACAATGTATGTAACAAATTTATCCCACTGAAGAAATCAAATAAGATTTGTTTAGAGTTTAGTAACATAATAAATGTAATTCAAAATATCATTGAAAATCATATATTCTCAGAATTACATTATCACAGTTAAAGATGGGAATATTTCAACAAACAAACCCTTTTCTTGCCGCCTTTTGTTTACAATAGATTCATGTATAATAGAATCTTGCACCTGATGCTACACCCCCTGCTCGGAGATAGTGAATTATAAAATTTCAGAGTGTCAGGTCATCTGTTTTAGCCATACTCTACAAATTTGTCTGAAGCATAATAAATTGTTTTATTGGATACTATATCACAAAGCTTAATACAAACTCAATGTGTTATGAATCACACTCCATTTGTTGATCCACCCTTAAATTTTTTCATGATTTAGTTTTAAAGTGTTTTTCTTTTTTATGGTCTCATTATGGAAGATTCAGGGGAAAGGGGGGAGATATAGTTTTTGGTCTGTATGTTTATCTGTTTATCTTTTAGTTTATTTGTCCAACCAATTTTTGATCTCTTGACCTTGGATTTTTAATCTTGCATTTGAAAAACTTTTACCTTGGCCATGAGCTGCCATGAAGGGGAATCATTGTTTCACAAGCACATCTTGTTTAAATTTTTTAATATAAATTATTGTCAAGTTCTTTAAAAAATCATTACTGTATACATTTTGGATTTCTAGTGTTTTGTTAAGTAATTAGAAGATAACCAGACTCATTTAGAAAAAAAGGTACTGATTGGAGCTGTTGAGTGGCCCTAATTATACACAATTTAGACCTGGACCTAAGACCTCTTGTCCCTTGGCTGATTCTTGGATCTCAGTCTAATATCAAATATGATATTGAAAAAAGGATGTTTTATCCCTGAGTTGTTTATTTTTACATAAACAAATGTGGATGACCAAAATATTGTACAGTAGTAGGGAATCTGCCTTGATATCTTAATTCCTATGGTATAGAATTTAAGGAATTTGTATGTGTACTAAGTAAATACAATGGAACTTGATTTTCTTGTATGGAGGATCATTTTATCTTTGAGCTTTTGTGTAAAGGGAGTTCCTGCTCAACTTTTACACGTTTACAATGCACTTAATCCACTGGATTATCTAAATCTCTGTCAGTGAAATGATTAAAATCCCAGCAAACCAAGCTTGAAATTGCAGTGAAAACATCCTTTGGTTGTAAATCTAGCATACAGCCTTCTCCATGATATATCTTCATTTCTGCCTTGTTGATAACTAGGTGTGACATTAAGAGGTCAACATGGAGAATTCTCCCATCCTCTGGCAGACTTAAACCATGTGAAATACAACACATATCTTATGACATCCATCAGCAGATTGTCACAAATGCATTTTGGTGACAGAGTATATGTACCAAGATGACTTTCAGAAATGATAAGCATTTTCACAGAGATTCTGAGATAACATAGAAATGTTATGTTTGTGCACTAAGACTATTGCACAATTGCAACAATTTTTTTTCATGCAGTTAAGATGCTGAACATACATGTTAAAACATACATGCATAAAAAATTGATGATAAAACACCAGAAGGCAGCAAAAAAAAAAAAGATAAAAATAAAAAATATTTATTTTCTTCTAACATGTTTAAAAGTGTTCATTAATGTTTATCGAATTTTTTTTTTAGATAAAAATGCAGCAAGTGATTGTGTAATACAGGAAAACTCTTCCCAGAAGTTAAATGTGATGGCGAAATTTGAACAGCCCGAGCTCTCCTCTGGTTGTATTGTGCCACAAACCGATATCTCCAGGTAATACCAATCAACAGGTAAAACTATGTAACTGACCAGTCCCAGTGGTCATTGAGGTAGTACCATTTCACTTTATTGACCCTAGAAAATAAGACGGGAGATTAAAGTGTTAAATGCCTTTGAAAAGTTGTTCATGTATTCTTGTGATTATGTCGGTAATACTGAGAATCGATGGAAAAGTCGGCCGCACTCCTTCAGATAAATATTTTCAAGGATTATTGCCCTGGTTTATTTGATTTTCAGGCTTTGTGATTTTGTGATCTGGAGATCTACCATCATTGAGGTGACCCATTATAGAATTTTATTTTGTCAGCTCTTCCTTGGAGCTAATTAATTAAAGTACCTGTTGCATGATGGTGAAAAATACTCATCAAATACTCTATATCATTGTTAAATCTGACCTAGATACCCAGTATTTATAATTCAAAGACCTGTGTTTTAATTCATAAAGGTAAAAACAAGTCTAGTAATTTTGCTTTAGTGAACTTAACAAAGCAGATGCAAGCATATGGTGACATTAAAAAAAAAGTTAAACCTTCTGAAATAATCTGCTTAGTCAAGTATCATTCACTGATAGTTGATGAAGGAATTTCTTGTCATGACTTCATGTAGTGAGGATTTTTATGTATTGATTTAAGTCCCCAGCATTTCATAGCAGATGAATGAAGTTCAAACATTTATTTTTTTTCATAGCAAAATCTAGAAGATTTCCCTTTATTCAAATGAGCATCAAAATATGACATGTAATGAGACAATAAACTGTTTATTTTGAAGGGTGGCTTACATTATTGAGGTAGAGCAAGTAAGCCGGGTGTCGAACACAACGGCGGCCATTGAGGCTCACCTGGACATCAGAAGTATGTCAAAGAAGAGGATTCAGAAGGATTTCTGGCTGGTCCTAAAGTCACCGGACCATGTCAACTGGAGAGTGTCCACTCACAAACTACAGGGATATATAGATATTGTGGTCAGTGGACACAGTACTGGTCATTGTGTGTAACTTCTCTATACGGTTAAAGAATAAAGTTTAAACCCAGTGGAAAGGAAAACAAAGGCTCTTCTTTTATGCTTTTTAGAAAATACCGTTTCAGTTTTAATTATAGTACACTAAGTTTTCACAAGTATTGAGATCTAAATCTTTTGAAGAAGAACAAAAATCCTTTCATACTTACCATGTTTTATAATGTTAGAGAAGATAATATTTTATCTGTATCTTTGATCAAAAACAGTATCTGTCAAAGCATTACTAGAGTACTAAATATGATTAAACAATCGAATATTAATTCAGAAAATTCTTGCAGGCAATTGTAAAAAATTATCAGTCATGATTTATTATGATGAGATTGTGTTGTATTTTTTCTGTTTGGGCATTAATATGTTTATACAGCACAATGCACTTTGAGTGCTAGATAGTTAGACTCTCCATGGAGTCTACCACATTACTGTAATACCTCAGAATCATATATCTGATGTTTGAATGTTGTCTTCAGAGACATTGAAGCTACTGTGGCTTTAAAAGTTTTATCACTACATAGACAATCACATCTCTTATTGTAGGGAGGCTGATACATGTATTTCTTTGAATATTAATTTGTTACTTACATTTGATAGGCCAATAGCTATGTGGATATGCAACGAATTAGGATGGATCCTGTAAATGTAAGGAGGGATGAGATTTCCGCGACAAATCAGGGGCTTATCCGCTGGGTGGAGGATTACCTGGGGCCAGTGGCTATGTACACCAAGGTCAACTTGGCCAATAAAATTAAGCTTGTCTTACCTGATACAGGTAATAACTTTTTTTTATGTATTCCAAATTTCCTTTTTCTTCCTTACATAGAGAAATAAATTAAGAAACATTGCAAGCAATGTGAACTTAATCATATTGGTATTATCATCGAATGGCTAGATAAGATAAAAGCTAATGAAAATAAAGGCCAATTATAGAGATGATATATGTACACAATACAGTAACTTTCTTGTGTAGACCTGTTCCATTTTTTGTGTTTTTTTAAAACTGTCTCATATTTGTTATTAAAACGTAACACATTAATAAAATATCATATTAGTGTATACAAAGTGACAGATTTAATTGTATTTCGCATTACCCACATCATCATATAGTGTAAATGCGTATTTAAAGCCCTTTCATTTATGTCTCTGACATTGACTTTTTCCTCAGTTCTGAATTGTTTTCATTTCTCTTGCAGCCAGCAGTAACTCTCCTAAGCTGAATCCTACTCATATTGACCCATTTTCTGTCCAGGGATATACTAAGACCGTAATACGACGGGTCTTACAGACAGAATGTGATGGGACAGGACGGATTATTGTGCATATGATCAAGTCTGTTATGAAGGTCATTTTCATTTTTTTATGCTTCTCTGAAAATCACAAAATTGGCTGTTACATTAAGAGAATGCTAGAATGCATTAGCATAGATTGAAATATGTGCAAATCACGACCCTTCTAGACTATATGTGGGGTTATAATAAGAGTCAAATGTCAAAAACTTGAAATTCTTCTCATTAAGAATGGCAAGTTCACAGTCCATCAAAGTATAAAGGAGATAATTTTTTCCAAGGTGTATTTTTAAAAAATCTTTTCAGATTTACTATAAAGCAGCAAGACCACAGTTGTTAAATTATATAGAGGCATCTTTCAGTGTCTTTGTAAATTGTAGAATCAGATATAGCCACATAAGGTGCTAAAAGTTTTACATAGAAATACATAGACTTGTTTCCTCCACATTTTACAAGGCTATGACTAATTATTCATAGCTTTGTAAAAAATGTGAGACAGTTCATGACTGCATGAACAGATGAAGATTCCTAATGAAAAATATTTTTCTTTTTAGATTTTCAATCTGTCCAGAAAACAGATCACACTTTTAGATGATGACTGTATAGGTGCTGTAAATAAGAAGGAATTGGTGTTTACAGCAATGCCAGAAACCTGTAAAACATTGGTGTCTCACAAAGGAGACCAATCTCTATACTCTAATGCAGTAAGTGTTTACAGCAATGCCAGAAACCTGTAAAACATTGTCTCACAAAGGTGACCAGTCTCTGTACTCGAATGCAGTAAGTGTTTACAGCAATGCCAGAAACCTGTAAAACACTGGTGTCTCACAAAGGAGACCAGTCTCTGTGCTCTAATGCAGTAAGTAACACACAATGGACCAAGTCCCTGTACTCTAATGCAGTAAGTAACACACAGTGTAACACACAATGGGACCAAATCCCTGTGCTCAAGTGCAGTTAGTCTCACACATTGGGACCAAGTCCCTGTACTCAACTCAGTAAAACAGACAAAGGGGCCCATTAGCTGTTCTTAAACTCAGTAAAACACATACTCAAAGAGGCCAGGTCACTGTACTTAAATTCAGTAAGTAACACATTATTGGGCCAAGTCAGTGTACTCTAATGCAGTAAGTCTCACTCAAATGGGCCAAGTAGCTGTTTAAAATTTGAGTAAGTAACATACAAAAGGACCCATTTCTTGTATTCAAACTTGGTAAAAGACAGACAAAGGTCTCAGTAACAGTTCTCTGGTACAGTTACTTCTCTGATGAGATGGCAGAATCACAGAGATGAATAGGTCTTCTCCTTTTATTTATTTTTTAGATTAAGTAATTAATATCAGTTGTCGAAGTGTGGTAAAGGCTTGGAATGCATTATTTCTAGTTAATGGCAATTCATTTGGTTACTGCTCTCACAGCAGTCCAGAAGTTTAAAATACAGTATCAAATTGTTCAATACAGATTGTAATCCATAAAGAGGAAGTGGATGGTGGAATGTACGACCAGCCGAGTGGATTGGGGATGAATGATGTGGATGAGGGTGATGAAGACTTTGGAATGGAGGGGTCTGGTCAGTCCCTCATGGACGGAACTTATATTGACGATGAGGACTTGAACCAGACACCAGACAAAATAGAGATCCCTATCCGCTGTACCGCACCAAGGAGAACTGAAGATATTGTATGTATCTGAAAGGAATAAGCAGATTATGTCTTAAATTGTAGTCGGGGGTATTAAAAGCAGGGCAGTATTTTACAATTTAATTTTTTTTTTGAAAAATCTGAATTTTATATATAAATTCTCTATATGTAAATAATATTCAATGATCTGACCTAAAGTGATAACTTAAGGATTTCTTTTTCCTGAAAACTCGTGCAGAAATTTTCAATTTGTACCCATGGAATCAATCTTTGTCTTGTTTACGCAAGGTACCTACTACAAGTCGGCCCCGAAACATCAGTTACTGGGACCCATCCTCAGAAATTCACTACAATATTGTCCTGTATAAATCCTCACACTACACTGACCCATTACATACCTTCCCACTAGCCCTGCCAGCCAATAGCAGGGTCTACGCCAAGGCCAGCATTGAAGCAGGTACTGCTTTTCTATGTTTGAAAATATATAGAGAAAACAATAAAAATTGAAGATGGAACAAAAACTTATTTCATTGACAAAAAGGCATTTTTTAACTGAATTCGGATAGAAAAAAACAACAACAAAAAACGTTAGATTATAAGTCATCTTTAAAGGAAAGTTGAATTTTACTGTTGATTTTATAACAGATCAATCCCTAAGGGTTGTAGTTCAGAATTGTTGGATTTCTCACACTCATGACTCCCCACCAAGTCTCTGGCTTATCAGGGATGGGTAAGTGGCCATTTTCAAATGAAGTAAAGCAATTGATAAATAGAATGCCATCGCTAACAAGCATGCCAAAGGAGACAATTTTCTGTAGTAAGAGAATTTTTATTCCAAATTAATATTCACAAAGTACATGTAATACACAATTTCTAAATGGAATCCATTTTGTTTTTGCAGCTGTTTGAAGGACAAGAACGTGCGACGTCAGCCTGGGATACTGCGAAGCCTGACGCAGAGTGAGAGGTTCAGTTTTAAGCTGAGTAATGCGACTCCGTACCACTTCTTGAAGTGTCAGCTGAGCATCTGTCAAAACTGGCAGACAAAAAACAACAAAGATATTCCAACGGTATGGCTCTTATTACTGATGGGCGCCTCAGGAAATAAATAGGATTGTTTTTTTATTTGAGCTACATTGTCTTTTAATCTTCTGCTTAGTAATGCATGGGAGAAAATAACTCATGCTGTTAATTTACACCATATTCAGGCACTCAGTGAAGCTGCTAATTCAAAAAACAATAAATAATCAATATGTTAACAAGTCATTTTATGCATTTAGATCTACATTTAAAATTGCACAAACAAGGTGCCAAGGAAAGAAATAAAAATAAGTGACATTATACAACTGTAAATTCAAGACCCTATACCAAAATTTTATGATTTTTTTCCATTGATATTGGAAATCATTTTATTTTTCTTTACAAAACAGGCTCAGAAAACATCAAAATAACATTCCAAGTATAAGAAAATTTATAGCAAGCAGCCTATTTTTTATGGCAATGGAAGCAAGATAGTGTGGAATCATTAGATTTCGTGGTGGCTCAATATTCATGGAATTCTTGGTTACCCTTCATCCATAAATTTTATGTTCTCCAAGAATTTAAAAACTAGGGATTCAGAGTAATTTTTCCTTTTAGAATGCAGGTGAATACACGAAAAAATGTCTCCATAAAGACGTAAAAGTTAATCCATGAAAATTGCCCCCATGAATTTTAATGAATTCACAGTAATTGGAGATTTTAGGATGGTTCCTAAAAGTGAAATGGCCAAATATTGAAGTTGCTAAAAAATTTAGATTTAGTGTTAAGAGATGATAGCTTTTCCTATGACCATTTTAAAACTTCAGTTCTCTTTCCATGAGAAACAACCTTAAAATACACTACTGTTCATCAACTCTTGTTGAATTTTGTTTGCATCATTCCAGTGTAATTCTGAGGATAAGATGTGTGACAGTGAAAGCCCAATAGCCATGATGAAGGAGATTACTCTTGGTCCACTGTATGCCACCAATTCTTTACCACCCTTCGAGGAGAAGGAGGTCGATAGTCCTAACTCCACTATAAGTAAGTCTGTTTCCTAACTCCACTATAAGGAAGTCTGTATAAGTAAGTCTGTGTCCTAACTTGACTATAAGTAAGTCTGTGTCCTAACTTGACTATAAGTAAGTCTGTGTCTTAACTCGACTTAAAGTAAGTCTGTATAAGTAAGTCTGTGTCCTAACTCAACTATAAGTAAGTCTGTATAAGTAAGTCTGTGTCCTAACTCAACTGTAAGTAAGTCTGTATAAGTAAGTCTGTGTCCTAACTCGACTATAAGTAAATCTGTGTCCTAACTTGACAGTAAGTCTGTGTCCTAACTTGACAGTAAGTCTGTGTCCTTACTCAACTATAAGTAAGTCTGTGTCCTAACTCGACTATAATTAAGTCTGTGTCCTAACTCCACTATAAGTAAGTCTGTGTCCTAACTCAACTATAAGTAAGTCTGTGTCCTAACTCAACTATAAGTAAGTCGTATAAGTAAGTCTGTGTCCTAACTCGACTACTAGTAAATCTGTGTCCTAACTTGACAGTAAGTCTGTGTCCCAACTTGACTTTAAGTAAGTATGTGTCCTAACTAGACTATAAGTAAGTCTGTGTCCTAACTCGACTATAAGTAAGTGAGTGTCCTAACTCGACTATAAGTAAGTCTGTTTCTTAACTCGACTTTAAGTAAGTCTGTATAAGTAAGTCTGTGTCCTAACTCGACTATAAGTAAGTCTGTGTCTTAACTCGACTTTAAGTAAGTCTGTATAAGTAAGTCTGTGTCCTAAGTCGACTATAAGTAAATCTGAGTCCTAACTCGACTTTAAGTAAGTCTGTGTCCTAACTCGACTATAAGTGTCTTTGTCTTAACTCGACTTTAAGTAAGTCTGTGTAAGTAAGTCTGTGTCCTAACTCGACTTTAAGTAAGTCTGTATAAGTAAGTCTGTGTCCTAAATGGACTATAAGTAAATCTGTATAAGTAAGTCTCTGTCCTTACTCGACTTTAAGTTAGTCTGGAGTAGAAGATTCTGATTAATATTTAATCAACATAAATGATGGTTTCATATATATGATGTTGCATCCAGTAAACATGGTAAATGTATTTTCCATCATGTTTTTTTTCAGTAAGAGAACCACACGTGAACATTGTCAACCCGCCCTCAGAAAGCAAGCCCTCGGAGGAATCTAAAGCCGGGGGTCAAACAGTTGTAGTGGAGGGTCTGGACTCGGGGACAGTGATTGGAATCGCTTTTGCAGCATTCATCATTGGAGTCCTGTTGGTGTCTGCTCTGTGGTTTATTCACACTCACACAGGTAATTTACCAGATACTAATTCGTCATGTTCATTGAAGTAAGATAATATGGGGAAAAACAAATGCTTTCCCAGTAATGCCTGACAGCCTTGTGTATGATGTGGCCTAGAAAGACTGTGTAGATGATTGAAGGAGTGGTGTTAATCAGTGTCAAATAAAAATTGTATATGATTGATATAAAAATCCAGACTTTCATATCTATTCAAATTATTTGCTTTCCATACTAGATTTTGTCCTTTGACATTCTTATGGAGAGTGTCCAGACTATAAAACTATGATTTTGATGTTTAGTTATGTATGTTTTGTAGCCCCAATAAAGCATGCTGTGGCATCTCGAGCAGTACTGGATGGTAGTGGTGAATCAACACCAATGTCTACAGCACCACTACAAATCAACTCCTAGTATCACTAGGGGGACAAAGGGGATAACTACTGCTTTAGCAATGTAAATTCAAGCAAAGCAAGGTATTCCTAAAATGAAATTATGGCATGTTCCAGTGTACATACAAAACGATTCTCTATTAACTTCTGAGTATTATTTGTGTGATATTAAGACAGCAAATGTGTTAAGTATGACAGAAAAGAAATAGTAGATGTTACCATGGAGTCAGTGTTGTCATGGATTCAAGAAAAAAGAACCATGTTCAAAATGGCGGTACATTACCATACAATGGTCAGCACCACAGCTTAAACCAAAGAAAAGGATATATTGTGGATTATAGCCCCTCATATGGGGTCTCTCAGGATATTAGCAGCACCTGTTAGCTGTGTTGGCTAATGGCAGCCAAAATTATTTTGGAAGTTAATATTTTGAAAACTAATAGACACATTGTATGATAGTAAATGTATTTAATTATGGAGGATTACTGCCTCGGATTTTTAAAATGGCCACAATTTTGGTGAGCTTCCTATTGTTATATTGATTCCCAGCCAGAAAAGAAGGGGAGAAGCTTCAAGTTTCTTGGAGTCAGAGTTTAAACTAAGGAAGTTTTTAACCAAGTAAAGCACTCAGCTAGAGCAAGTTAACATTAGGAATAAAATTGTCTTTGTTTTGTAAAACGGGTAAAATCAGTGATTATTGAAACATGGCCAGACATGTTTGTTGAGCAGCCATTTTGATTCACAGTAGATGATACATCATTTATGTAATGTCTAACACATGATTCATTTGCTGAATATTTCTATTACCTACCTGTATTTCTAATTTGTGCCACATATTGTTATCTTCTTTTTTTTTGCAAATTATTTATTTATTCTTTCAAAATAATCAGGATAAAATGCAACAGGTACATGTTTATCTTAGTATTTGTATTCATACAGGCATTCTGTACTTAAGAAGACCCATCTGTTTGGTGAACTTACAATTGATGAGAACAGGAAGCTTTTTAGTCTCTATACCTCAACTACCTTTAAAATCCTTCAGGTTTCAATCTTAAGCTCATTATTTATGCAATATAAAAGGTCAGGGACACTGGAAGGTCAGGGACACTTTTGTGCCTTTGCAAAATAAATGGGGGAAAGGGATCCTTGTTTTAAATTACTTCTTGAAAAAGACAGAGTCATGTTACATTTGATTCTGGGAAAAAAAGGAATTAAAAGTAATGGATAACATAAAATGTATTTAAAACTTAAGTTTTGAAAAAATTTGTGAAGGCAAGAAAGAAGGTTTGTGAATAATTTTGGTAAGGATCGCAAGCAAATATCCATATATGTTGCTCTGTGAACAAACACCGTGTAGCTTGATTTGTTCATCGGTTACCTCAGTATATAATGTAAATGCAGGGAACCTGTCAAGCTGTTAACTTGCTCTAGCTCTGTGTAGAGCATAAATGCATTTAAAAAATGATCTGGATGATCTTTTGATGTAAATAGATATTGGTGTTTCATGGTAATATACTACATATATACCTATATGTTTTTATATCTCGACTATTATCACCATGAATACCAGTGAATATGATACAAACTATAAACCATTGAGTTATAATCTGTAACCATTGAAACTCATATTTATTTAGAATGTTAAATAGAGTGGAGAATTTGTCTGTGATGATTTTAATGTAAAAACATATTTTTAACCTAGAATGGATCTGAGTCAAAGTGCTACTTGTCTTTGTTGGCAGGTATTTGGTGTATATTCTCTTAAAAGGAAATTCAGAATAGTGCTAAATTGTCATCTTTTTTTTTTTTTTTTAGAATACAGTGACGTTTTAATGGAGAATTTATTCTCTATGTCGTGTTAGTATAATAGATTCTTTGTTCAGAGGGATAATTGAAATGTTTGTATTTTTCATAATCAAATTGAGCAAAATTTCGGGGGTTATAATACATGACCATGCATGAAAGATCTGTTGTTTTTTGGGTAGAAAGGATGCTCTCCTCTCTAAATTTTTTTTTGTTGATATTTTTTTTTTAGTTGAGACTTTGTAAATATGAACTGCCTGTAGAATTTCACTATGTATCTTTAGACCTGTAGCATGCCAAGCCGTTATTGAAGGGGGCTGCTTTATGTCGTCGGGCAGAGAAGGTGACCCGCGGTTGTTATTGATGTCAGTGTTGTTATTTTGTTGTTTATGAAAAGTTGTTTGTTGGGTATTATTATTCTAAGTGCTGTGTGTGACATTTTTACCAATGCATTATGATTTGTTTTTGTTTAAGTTTTTCAGTGAAGATTAAAATTATTGACAAAATTATAACCTTACTCTCGTGAGTTCATGTACATTGTATATGGATAGTTATAGTTGGAAAATATTGTCAGAAATTTCAAATTTACATATATATGCCTAAGTTGTTTGATATGATGGTAAAATAAGACTGTTGCTAACTGACAAGACCAGACATATAATTTCTTTCCATTTAGAAATATATGGTAATTATGTTTCATTTATACATTTACATTTTTATTTATAACAAAAAAATTCTCATTTAAAAAACCCCAGATCTGTTATACATTTTCAAAATTTTAAGTTTTAAAAAAATGTAACTAAAGGTCAGGATACATTTATTCTAGGCAGTTGTAAGCAGCAATATTCTTCACATCACCAAATTTTGTGGTAAAACTTAATATTGAATTAGCATTTCATTCATAAGAAAGACTGAAGTTAAAACACATATATATATATATATTGTTAAAAGGCAGCATAAATTTTGTATGTTACAATGGTCACTTATAGGGAACCTTTCATGTAGCTTAATCTTCAATTGGATCACTACAGATATCTCATACATTTGTTTTGTCTGTCTGTTCGTTTGTTTCTGTATTTGCACCGCATTATATTCTGTGTGGTTTTATTTTTTCGTCAATATGTCTACCTCAGTTATGGGTGCTGTTTTTAAAGCACTCATTTTAATATAACCATTTTATAAATAGTTCACAAAATATGCATTGCACTAGTATTTCTCATTTTTGAATTTCTTGCAAAGAGTTGGCAGTGAATTAGAATTTCTTGCATTAAAATTTTGATAGAGTTACTGGCTGAATTATTTAAGTTGCTAAGATTAATTCCAAAAAAGGTTGTGTGCTAAGTTATAATTTAGAAATTGCACTTTTAAGCAAAAGTTCAACTGAAAAGATTTAGATACATTATTGAGCAATCTTTAACGTAGCATTTAGGTATGATTTTTGTCTGTTAGAAGTTTCACTTTACATTCTCATTGTCTGTCATTGAAAATGAGCCTTTGTTGACCAACATTTTCTCCTGTTTTTATTCAACAAATCATCTTCGTACCTAATAGTTGTCAAAATGTTGAACTCATATCACATTGACCTGACCTCAGTCATGTTTAATTATCACTACAACGTTTTATGCAGCCATTTACATTGTTTGTTACCTCATGATCGTTTCATTATGATCATCGCCATATCAAAGTCTTATTTTGGGGTTTAACAGATTCAGAAACATGACAAGAAGATGGAATCTTGATTGGTAATCAAATGCAAAAATGTACACATATTCAATTTTTTTTTTTTTAAGAAATTTTTTGAATACATTTCAATTATTTATAATGAGCTTGAGCTCTACCTCAGTTTTTTTTTTCTTTTAAAATTATGTCATTTTATCATTTTACATCTTTGTTTTGAAATGTAAAAATTTGCATGTAAATAAGTGCTGTATTTATATATCATAAACCTGTATATTGGCCATTGATAGGTAGTTTTCTCTGTATGTACATATATAAGTATCTGGTTTAAATATGGCAGGGAAAAAATTATCGCATTGTTAATAAACATAGCTTTTAAAATATTGGCAATTAAATAAAAAATTCAAATTATTTACAAAAGTTACAAACTACATATACATTTCATATTTATAGTTCCTAAAAATAAATGGCAAATACAAAAAAAAAATGTCCAGAATTTTTGTCCCTTGAAGTGAATTTGTTTGAAAAATATAAAAATCAATGTATAAAATATGTGTAGCAAATTTGTTGTGTGTGTTTTTTTCATTGTAATGATAATTGTCTGTATGCTCATCAGAACTCTGTTAAATTATTTATGCAGCTTTTTGTCGTGTCTTTGGACAGACTTTATAATCCCGGTGCCATAGTTCATCTTTGAATCTTGCTGTTGAAAATCCTTGATAAAATTTGTGAATAAAACAGGATTTTTAAAAATTACAACTGTTTTATGTATTGAAGGTAATTTGTGTGATTGTATACGATGGTCTGTAATATTATAACCACGAGATGCAGGCGAGTGTGTTTGCTGTAGTGACAAACAAGTTTAATGGTCAGGATTTACAATTGTAAGACCTATTTATCTACCTCAAATGAACCTGTTGTACATTTTTTTTTTAAAGAAAACAGATTTTTTTTTCAATGTAATCTTTGCTATTTCATTGTCATCTATGATAAATTTTCATGTATCTGATGAAATAAAATGTATAAAGTAGATGAAGCTGTGTTTGTTATTATACCTGGCTGCTAATAATACTGCACCAGGGGCGTCCTAAGCACTGACTGACATTGTCAGTTACGGATGGAATGACTTCTCATTGCCCTTCATTGTGAAAATTGTGTGTAAAAATATCATGATATTGTGATGTTTTGGGAAAAATCGTGATATATCGCTATACGAAATTTTTGGCGATACCCATTCCTATTGCGCCCTCAGTTGAAATTGGTGTATGATCTTTATCACAGATTTTGATTTCATTGGATTGAAAGCCATTCTTGCCCATGATATTGTCTCTTCCAATGCATTTAGTATCCAAAATATGATGCTTTCTGATATCTCCTCTTTTAGAATGAAACATCCCTCTGCTTTCTAAAAGCATGATGGTATTTTCCCCTTCCTCTACACTACATGTATTTTTAATACATGGCTGTAGGACCCTCGATCCCCATCCAGACTTGGGGTCAATTACTTTGAAATGTAATTAAATACTTTGAAATACATTGAATATTTTGTCAATTACTTGCAATTACAATTGCATTGATTTTTACAAATGTAATTAATTACTTTCAATTACTTTGAAGAATGTAATTAAATACATTTCAATTACTTTTGTTTCCCTTTCAAAAATCTTTAAGATCAAATACATGTAAATTTAAGGTAGGGGGGATATTTAAAATAAATAATATCAGGTGCCTGTCATGTTTGTGTGTTTCATCAACATAAGACCTAGTCCTACATTTATCAATTGACTGCCTTTATAAAATTTGATTAAAAGCAAGCTTTCAACAGTTTATGAATCAACTATAAAATACTCTCAAATTATTTCAGCTACCAGGCAAGCTAATCATGTTAAATTGTAAATGTTGACAAATAATTCTTTTTTTATGTTATAACTATTTCAGATACCAAATGCATACATGTATATAAAGATTAAAGATTTGTTTAAATGTTAAAATAGTGATTCAATATTTAGTTCTTTTCTGAAGTATAGATATACATGTAGTAGAGCATTCTAAATAGTATTTAATAAATCACCTCTACTGGTCATATCTTTGAATTTAAACAAAGCATGGTATAAAATTATATAAAACTTTGGAGGGTTGTTTTGATAGCAATTTACAGTTGGGAGTTGAAGGGCAACAAGGCAGGTCTTAATGACACATTAAATTATTTTGTATTCTTTTGATGATCAAGCAAAAAAAAAATTGAAATGTTTTCATGCCGATACCAATGAGAGGTAGAATTTTTTTTTTTGATAAACATAAAACTAGAATTAATTCTTTATGTGCATTATAATTCTAAAACAAACTAATATTTTTATAAACAAGCCAATAAAGTTTTAAGAATTTGGAAAACAGAAGGGCTTCTCTGAATAAATTAAATTAACTGTAAAATGTGACTCTTTTGGAAATATTTTCCTATGAAATACACATAATATGTATTATGTAAAGTAATTGAAATGTAATTGAAATTACAGGGTATTTTTTCAATGTAATTAATCATATTCAGTTACAAGTAGTTGAAAAAATGGTCAATTACAAATTACTTCCAATTACTTTGAAAAATGTAATTACACTCAATTACAATTATTTTTTTCAATTACCCCATCCCTGCCCCCACCCCCAATAATTTTGACGATATATAGAATACTATAGAAAACATAGCTACTATATGCTTGTGTCCTCTCAATAGTATCTTCTGTTGACCTTTTTTTTGCTTGTCAAGAAAATTTTGAACTTTTGGTAGAGCCCCCCCCCCCCCAACTGAAAATGTTTGATCCCCCCAACTGAAATTCCTTCCTACGGGCATGCAATAGCCTCCACGGATTTTTTTTTTTTAAATCTGCATGATAAACTTTGTATGGAATCCCGTTCGGTGCCGATGCAGATCTAGCTTTCTTCTCTACACTTACTACTTCTCTTGATTCCTTAATGTTCATCGGTGCATCTTGTTCTGGAACACTCTCTATTCTTTCACAGTTTCCTAAGTGCTCCCATTGCCTTTTATCATTCTGTCTGTTTTCTGTTTTTCTGCTAGATGTTATTCCTGTTCTTCTTTCGTGCTTCGTCCCAAGTATTGGTTTTGTAAACTTGTATGGGTTGGCAACAGACATTGCAACAAGACCTTGACCTTAAAATAATACATGTATATCGTACATTGACATTGGTCGTAACTTTTGCACCCGAGGAGACAAGGCTTTCATAATTTTTTTATATTACATATCCTTTCAAAATATAAAAAAATATATATATAAGACAAGTCAAGACAGACGAGTCAGTAACAATATACCATAAATCATTACAACCCAACCAATAAGACCCCGAAAGGGGAGAACCACAATTCCTGAATTTGCTCGTTTGACTCGGGTGACCTATAGAGTTGATATTTACTGTAGAGGTAGGTTTTAGAGGAATACACATGTAGATATTTGTATCACCGGGTCATAAAAAGTCAATAAAAATATCAAGATCATTTTAATCAAGTTATATCTTCAGTATGTATTTATACCCCTCTGGAAGGCCATTTGAAAGGGGGGGGGGGATTTGGCAGAAATGTTTGGGGTGGTGAATACAAATACAAAGAATGGACAATGCCCTTTTGTACATATACAAAATCAATACTGCATATTCTTCTTTGGACAAATTTACTTGATTAAGCACACTAGAAATCACAAAATCTTTTACTTTTATTGCATTTTCTTCGTGAAAAGTGTCAATCCTATTTTTAAAATATGTCTTGCCAACATGAAATTAATATAAAAGTACAAATTCTAACATCTAGCGAAATACTTAATCGGAAGTACTGATCGGTTGCTTTGGAGTTCTAGCTGATGCTATAATGTCTTAGAAGTGCATGACTTTGCACTGGGAGTGAAGACACTCGGCACACCTCGGCCGATTCGTACCTCTGATGAAGGTGACGGAATCAGCCGAGGTTTGTCGAATGGGAGTGAAGAATTTTCAAGAGGTATGTCGAGATATTAAGGTAAAGTTTTGCAACATTTCTTAGTCCTTTAAGAAATCAAAGTATTAAAATAAAATAAAATTCCAAATTATTTTCCAAAGAATTGACTGACGCACACTGTCGTCATAAAAGTTCTACATGTTCCACCAGTTCAGACACTTTCCTTCGCTCTGATTGGTTGTCATTTTTCGAATGTCCTTTATCTAATTGGTTAACTTTACAGGGACTTTTGTGATGCACACTTTGCGCTGATTGGTCAGAATTTGAAGACACGTTGTTCCAGACATTATTTATGGAACTCTGTGATTTGTTATAAACGTGTTTCTTTGGTTCTTTACGTGACATATCTTCTGAAAAGCACAAAATGTTGCACCAGTATTTACCATATATGTTATTTTTGCGATATTTGACATAAAGAAATATTCTAAGATAAATTGCTTAAGACGACAAACTTTTAAAATGTTCCTGAATGATAAAGCTAAAAAAAATATATAATATAAATGAACACATTTATCATACACATCAAAAAATTAACCCTATTAGATCATTTCATACTTCTTTACTCGTAATTCCTTTTTGTTATATCTTACAAAAATCAACAATACACGTACTATAGATCTACATGTACGTAAACGTGTACATCCTACGTACCTTATAACAGTGCCCCACCTTTACACAGAATCCTCTAATTAGCGTCAAAGACTGCAGGAAAACGCGTCAGACTCGATCTTCTCCTAGCTAGGAGATTAGATTTCACAATCTATTTACCATCGACGAATGAGATCTTTATTTTTCCTGAAGAGTTTGATTAAGGTCCACATTATTAATAATAAACTACCCATAACGTTCCGGGCGTAGCTCAAGGGTTGTACATCACCGCATCGATCACGGTATCGTCAGGTAGTAGACTGCAAATATGGGTAGTTCTAATGCCTTTTAGTGGTTTTTTTAATTAATACTTAATGAGATTGTACCTATAGGAAACATACTAATTATTTGCGGATGAAATGCACAGTGCTTAAAAATGAGAAGGAAACAAAAAAAAGTTAATTAAATATTGCACTATTCAGTGTTCTGGGAATTCGATTTTAAGCGATTTCGCATGATGTATTTCAAAAAGAGAATTTATAACAGTGACTTCACTAAAATGAAATGTATTTTTCAACGCTCTTGGCGTCTGTCGGGTGAACAATATCTGATCTTTTTCTAAAAAAAAATAATCTGGGTTTGTGGCAAAGTCAAGAGCCATTATTATAAACAATTAACTGGCGTTTTAGAAAAATAATTAGGGAAGCGTTTTTAAAATCATATTTAGCATATTTATCCTCTTTTCGTTGCTATCGGAGTACTATTGAAACTGTAAAAAAGATGAAACATAGTCGCGGAAGATACAATGTGACTCGGAGAAAAATCGAACAGCTCTAGTATTTATGTGCCCTGTGGCATTCGCTAATAGTACAGAGGTAATAACAGAAAAGAAAAATATTTATATCGTGGCCACATGAATCAATAAGAAATGCCTATTCTGAGAATATTTCAATCAATATAGATTCCGTGCGATCTCATCTTCCCGACAAGGAACTAAGGCTGGTATAAACGTGGAGATTTTGAGTCTTTGATGTACGCTGCATGCCTTTTTAAAAACTGATGACAGACGCAATGAAAAAAAAAAAGTTTCGACAACGGCTACCTCCCAACGATTTGATTTATGTCAGCTTTAGACGGAAAATATGCCATTCATTAAGATTCAACTTCTTGGGAGGTAGAAGAGGGTTTACATATCAACACAGTCGATAGGAAAAAAATAAACAAGCAGATTAACCGCCGAGATCATTTTGAAGATCAAAGTGGTTAATACTCAGGCATTGATTGATTTCAATATAGCAGTTGTTAAACAAACCCCTTTAGTGAAATAATTAGACTGGATGATCATAAACGCAAATTTTTTTTTTTTCCATTTTGGTTACCGTCAAAACAGCATTTAAAAAATTCCGATACCCTTCTAGTAATGTTAATAATATATTTGCTACGAAAAATATTGACTATATATTATAATTAAACTATATTTATAGTAAAGCAATAGCTGACCACTTGACAGATATGAGGTTGCGTAATTTATTTCCAAACAGCAGTCTGTTACCGTTCTTCGTACATATATATTTTTTTTTTTTTTAAACAGTATTCCCTATGCAAAATGAATGACGTTTCCTGCAATCTCTCAATAAAAGATTTGATAGTGCAGAATTAGAGACGGTTTATGGATGCTTAATTACATTGTATTATGCCCCCGAAATCGATCTTGGTAAGTGACTTTGGGCCAAAGGGTTTGACACAAAATTGAACCATGATCATTTGAAGAAAAACACGAAACAAAAATTTGAAAATGTGATAGTCTTCTTTGGTTTCTAAGTTTTTAATGAAATCAGAAATTAAGCCAGATGTAGCTCATGATCAGGGAATGTGTCAAAAATTGTATAGATGAATAAGGATGGCTGCAGAAAGGAAGAATTTTGAACTTCATAGAAATTTTACAATTACTTAATGTTGTAGAAATTTATTTTTTGCATCGTTTACAACCAAAATTAATCTATTGTTAAGAAACTTTGTATTTGATAACTTAATTTTGTGGTGTGCCTCAATCACAAAAATTGCACTCAACAAGAAATTATGAAGCCACAGCAAGTTTTTCACATTAAAAAGACAAACAGTATTGCTTATTAGTTATGACAATAAATATAATATATACACACTGTATAGATACAGACACACACCATTACTCCAACCTTACCAAAAAGAAAAGGGGGGTTTATCATGCAGTCACATGATGACATGAAATAGGTTCTTCTGAGCAACATCATGTGTTCTTTCTTCTTACTTCAAATTCTTATTATAGAGTGGCCAATTCTTTAACTAGGTAACCTACATAATCTTAAATGATTTTCAAGAGTGTTCACAATGTTGATTCCACAAGCCCTTATAAAGTATACCCAAATTTGTCATTAAAACATCAGTCACAAGTGCTCATAAACCTTAACCAGTAAAAAAAAAGAACTCAAAGTATTTGGATTATTTTCTGAGATCTTTTTTATTTTAAAGATTTTTTTCATATTTATTTCTACATATTGTTTTCTGCAATCCATATACATGTATCTGTGGTAAACTGCACCTGAGATAGTTTGACACGGTATAAATTTATGAATGATAAATGCTAACTAAATCTTAACGACTCTCTCTTCTTTAGCTTCCTTTCCTTGTTAGCAACATAATCCTTTCGTACAGGACTAAGCCTCATTTCCAGAATATTTTTAATTTTTTGCACTATTTCGTTAGCTATATCTTCATCAGTTTCAAAGTCATGGTGTTTATAACTGTCTTTATCAGTAAAATAGGTCAGGCGGAACAGTGATTTCCCTGCAAAAAAATAATTTTACTTGAAAAATACAAAAAAAATATAAAAACTGGAAAGTATGAAAAAAAGATTCTGTTAACCACCCAGAATCTTGATTCATTCCATTCAGCAAATTCAAGTAATCAATAAAATAACAAGAGGCCCATGGGCCACAATGCTCACCTGCATAATTATGGCCCTTCTTGTTCTTCATCAGTGGATTTTTTTCCTATAAATTTTGATTTAAACTTTGATCACCCATTGAAGCCCCATCCTACCCCTGGGGGTCATGATTTGACAAGCTTGAATCTACACTATCTGAGGATGCTTCCCTATAAATATGTCTGATCATGGCTTTGCTGTTGTTAAAAAGAAGATTTTTCCTATGTATTCCTATGTAAAAGTTTGATTGCTTTCACATATTGGCTGGCCCCACCCTACCCCTGGGAGTCATGAATTGAACAAACTTGAATCTACACTATGTCAGGAGGCTTTCAAGTAAGTTTCATCTTTTCTGGTTCTTGAGAAGAAGATTCTTAAATGACCCCACCCAATTTTTACTATTTCTTAATTACGGGGTATCTCCCCTTGGAAGAGGGTGTGGCCCTTCATTTGAATTCCCTTTACCCAAGGATACTCTGTACCAAGTTTGGTTGAAATTGGCTCAGTGGTTCTGAAGGAGAAGATGAAATTTAAAAATTATAAAAAGTTTACAACAACAACAACAATGCCAATGACAGCCAACAGACAAATTTTGATCAGAAAAGCTTATTTAAGCCTTCAGCTCAGGTGAGCTGAAAAGTGGTATTTGGTGACACTTTTGGTTCACTTTGACTTTCAGGTGGAAGAAGTCTGATAATCCTTACCATTTGATTTTTCCTCTATTATGTCTGCTGAGGCTATCGTATCCGCTGGATAAGTAGCTGCTTTTTGTCGTAGGAACTTGACGGAACCCTTTGTTCCTACTGGGTCTATTTCTACTTTCTCCCCACTTATCCCTACAACAACAGATAACGGTTTATTCAATAATATTGAATAAAATTCAATGTGCTGCTTTATCCTTCAATTCCAGATGATACATGTATGTACATGTATAATACTTTCACAATAATACAATCTGCATAAAAGTGTGTGTACTGTACAGCAGGTTAAAATTGCCATTGGAAAAGATCAAGATTTGTTCAATTTGCAGCAAATTAAAATTGTCTGAATTCGCTGAAAAGAAAAATTATACCAACACTTTTTACAGCACTGCAAGTATTTTGCCTGTGTATTGTGTCGATTCTGAACCCGATTAAAAAGATTGAAACACTGTACTGATCCTGATTTGAAATCAAAATGTATGATTTACAATGTTACGCATTCTGATAAATTTTCTTTTCCTTTCTTTCTTTTAAATTAATATTCTTGAAATACATACGTGTCTATATTTAGGGATTTATTCAAGTGATTTTAACTTGTATCCAAATCTATTAACATTCATGTTAAAAAAGAAGCCCTTGGGCAGGTGTTCGTTATAGAGATGTTTTGAGTTGAGTACCAGGTACAGATAAGTATTTAAATCTCCCTGAATCTAAATCGGTTGTCAGTACTGGTCGTTAAAATTTCAAACTGTTAATAAAATTGGTTTAATGTGTTTTACTATGTTAAGTTGCTTGATTAAAGATAATAAGACTGAGTAATACACACGGATGAAATCTAACAATACATTTTATAGGTAATTACATCTCATCTCCACTTGGTGGCAGAATTAAGGGTTATTTGTAGATATTTTAATATTTATCGATTAAGATTTAAAAACACCAACAACTACATATTAGTGATTGATCCGTACATCCTCATAATTAGAAAGATGGTCTACATCTCCGCTATGTTAATTACAGCTTTTATGTTTGCATGGAAACACAGAGTTAACAAATCTAATCACAGATAGTGGTAATATTTTAATTTATCCTTATCATTTTTAAACAATTATTCTTTGTATGTTAAATCTGCAGAATTTTTATTTCAACAAATACAGCGAATATTAACTCCATGAGTTAATTTCCTGCTGTATAGTTTTATGACCCAAATAATTGTATTTCCAATTTACAAGTGAAAGCCATCTATAAAAATTCTTTTTTTTTGACCTACACACTTTAAACTAAAATCATCGACAATAAGTGCAGTCTTTTTGAATTTTATCCCTTTAATATATCTCACCTTGTAGTAGTAAATTAACATCGTATGATACCAAATTTGGTCATGTACCTGATCTTTAATATTAACAGTAGAAACTTTATACCTAGCTGAACTTCTGTGTTAGTCCGGAGTCTGTGTATCATGTTGACTATGTAACTCTTATACTGGTGACTCGTCAGCGAGTCTGCGATGGTGGACATGTCACCTTCTCTCTCATCCTCCATTTCCCCTCTTGTACCTATTCAGCAATTAACAAAGTGTTTGTTTCAATTGAAATATCATTCATAGTTTTAATGAAAAACAGACAAACAAAGTTAATATAATTTTGTAAAAAAAATAATTAAGTACTGTATCAATTACATATTTTTTTGATTTTACATTTTGGTAGATTGCTTAAGTATAATGTTGTAAATATCTCAATAATATGTATCTTGACACAATAATGGAAAATAATTTCAGCGTAAAATACAAACTGTTTTCCCTGACAAGACAGAACTCAAGTGTGTCCATGCTGGCCAGTGTAGCATCCAGCTCTAATGACACGCCGGGCTCACTCTGTTTCTCCATATTGTACTGCTGACCTACAGAGGAAATTCAGATTACTACCATTTTACTCAGTCTAATAATATTGTACTGCTGACCTACAGAGGAAATTCAGATTACAACCATTTTACTCAGTCTAATCATTTTGTACTGCTGACCTACAGAGGAAATTCAGATTACTACCATTTTACTCAGTCTAGTCATATTGTACTGCTGACCTACAGAGGAAATTCAGATTACTACCATTTTACTCAGTCTAATCATATTGTACTGCTGACCTACAGAGGAAATTCAGATTACAACCATTTTACTCAGTCTAATCATTTTGTACTGCTGACCTACAGAGGAAATTCAGATTATACCATTTTACTCAGTCTAATCATATTGTACTGCTGACCTACAGAGGAAATTCAGATTACAACCATTTTACTCAGTCTAATCATTTTGTACTGCTGACCTACAGAGGAAATTCAGATTACTACCATTTTACTCAGTCTAATCATTTTGTACTGCTGACCTACAGAGGAAATTCAGATTACTACCATTTTACTCAGTCTAATCATATTGTACTGCTGACCTACAGAGGAAATTCAGATTACTACCATTTTACTCAGTCTAATCATTTTGTACTGCTGACCTACAGAGGAAATTCAGATTACAACCATTTTACTCAGTCTAATCATTTTGTACTGCTGACCTACAGAGGAAATTCAGATTACTACCATTTTACTCAGTCTAGTCATATTGTACTGCTGACCTACAGAGGAAATTCAGATTACTACCATTTTACTCAGTCTAATCATATTGTACTGCTGACCTACAGAGGAAATTCAGATTACAACCATTTTACTCAGTCTAATCATTTTGTTCTGCTGACCTACAGAGGAAATTCAGATTACAACCATTTTACTCAGTCTAATCATATTGTACTGCTGACCTACAGAGGAAATTCAGATTACAACCATTTTACTCAGTCTAGTCATATTGTACTGCTGACCTACAGAGGAAATTCAGATTACTACCATTTTACTCAGTCTAGTCATATTGTACTGCTGACCTACAGAGGAAATTCAGATTACTACCATTTTACTCAGTCTAATCATATTGTACTGCTGACCTACAGAGGAAATTCAGATTACTACCATTTTACTCAGTCTAATCATATTGTACTGCTGACCTACAGAGGAAATTCAGATTACAACCATTTTACTCAGTCTAATCATTTTGTACTGCTGACCTACAGAGGAAATTCAGATTACTACCATTTTACTCAGTCTAATCATATTGTACTGCTGACCTACAGAGGAAATTCAGATTACTACCATTTTACTCAGTCTAATCATATTGTACTGCTGACCTATAGAGGAAATTCAGATTACTACCATTTTACTCAGTCTATAATCATACTTTTAACATAAATACTTGCAGATACAATAATAATAGGAATTTTTGTGATCTACTCAGAATGTTATGCTATCATATTCTGAAATAAATACTTTCCGGTACAATAAAAGCTAGCTAACATGAATTTTTCTAATTATTCTGTGCTTAGTCTAAGATCTTTTGAAATGCTGTTTATGTTAAATTACACAACAAATTAACCTTGCAAACAAAATATGTATTGTACAATAAAGGTCACCTGGTCTTATCTTGACTTTCCTCCTCTTTAACACTCTCTGTAGAATTTCTCTAATTGTTGTATTCATATTCTCTACTTGAAATTTGTTAAAACCTCTGTTTGGAACATGCCTGAAAACAAAAATAAATACATGTGTATTTTGATCAGTAGACTTTGATCCATTGATATGCAGGCTCTCATTTATCTAATAGAAGATCTGAAAGAAGGTTAATGTACCATTGATGAGAAGCACAATATATGCATTAGGAACATGTCTGATAAATAAATCCAATCTCTCATTGATAGACATTGTAAATGGATTAATCTATATGATGACTGAGAAGGAATTAGAGAGATTAGGGGTGAGATCAAGAGATCAGTGTCAAATAAAAAATTACAGTAAAACATACTTATAGTGAATTGCCAGGGATGGAGGATTTTGCTTTGTTATAAACATTATTCATTATTTCCATTTAGTCCCCATTATTTTTAAAGCCACCGGAAAGAAAATCACTTCACTGTAAGCATCAATTCATTATAACTATTAAGAGTGTTTGCAATAAGCATGTTTTACTGTGTATTAAAAGTTTCTGTTGTCCACCATCAAAAGTGTATATTGTACATGAGACTATGTTATTGGTATTTGAAATGATTCTTTTTTTATGAATAAACAAAAGAAATTGAAGTTATTTACAGTCTTATAAGTACTAATATTTGTTTCATTATCAAATTTCAATCAACTTTCATCAAGTTTAGTCGGGGGGTGGGGTGGGGAGTTTGGGGATCATCTTCATGAAAACTATGTGAATTTAGTTTTTTGTCAGACATTGAACTTTTGATCTCATCCTTTATGTCATGTATGTATGGATTCAGATAAGCCATTGTATCTAGAAGATATTATTCATAATGACACACACTAATTGTTCTTGCATACTTGAAAGTCTTGATAACACTTTACATCCATCAATTGTGAGTACACATTCACTTACACAGTTACAACATGTGTGGAGCGGTTATTGGCCGGGGGAGGAATGTCTTTTTCTACCAGAGCCAGCTTAGAGAATCCAAACTTAGAGACAGGTTCTCTATTATCCAGACTGGGGAAATCTGTGTCTACTTCTCCATCATCTTCAGCGATATGAAGGCAGTACATCTCTATGTTCTCACTGCATAACATGAAAACCTTATACAACTACACCAATTGACTTACTATTTTTAAAGGTTCTCAAATGATCACTGTAGTCCTAAAGTACAAATCATTGTGCCTATTTATTCTCCTAAAACAATGTTAAATTCAAACTTCTTACTTCAGCTTGGGTTCTCTTTCTTCATTGGTGTATTGCCAGCAAATTAGACCAATCAGATCTTGAATTTTAGCTGTTGCTACAACAATGACTGTGATTGGATATTCCCTCATTCCTGGTGGACACATGGTTAAAAATATGTCAATTTTCTTAGAGAGAGTTCCCACACTTGCCTAAAATGATAAACAAGAGGCCCATGGCCACATCGCTCACACTGTGACTATGAAAAAAGCAAAAATCAGTTCAGTATTGAAAAGCTTAAATGCATAAGTGGTCCAGACCTACCGTTAAAAGGAAGGTATAATTTGAACAAAATTGAATCTACACTTACTAAAAATGCATACATATTTCTGAGGCTATTATTGAGGCTTTTTTTTCTACATGTTTGAACTTTAATTATGGCCCCACCCTACCCCCAACTCATGATTTGAACAAATTTGAATCTACACTATCTGAGGATGCTTCCATATAAATATAACCAATCATGGCTTTTTGTTCTTGAGAAGAAGATTTTTCGTATATATTCCTATATAAAACTTTGATCACCCATTGTGGCCCCACCCTACCCCCTGGGGTCATGATTTGAACAAACTTGTATCTACACTACCTGAGGATGCTTCCATATGAATATAACCAATCATGGCTTTTTGTTCTTGAGAAGAAGATTTTTCGTATATATTCCTATATAAAACTTTGATCACCCATTGTGGCCCCACCCTACCCCCCTGGGGTCATGATTTGAACAAACTTGTATCTACACTACCTGAGGATGCTTCCATATAAATATGACCAATCATGGCTTTGCCGTTCTTGAGAAGAAGATTTTTAAAGATTTTCCCTATATATCCCTATGTAAAACTTTGATCGTCCATCGTCCTACCCTATCCCCGGTGGTCATGATTTGAACAAACTTGAATCTACACTACCTGAGGATGATTCCACATAAGTTTCATTTTCCTGGCCCAGTGGTTCTTGAGAAGATTTTTAAAAGATGCCATTAATTTTTCACTAATTTGTAATTATCCCTTGGAAGAGAGCGTGGCCCTTCATTTGAACAAACTTGAATCCCCTTCACATAATGATACTCTGTGCCAAGTTTGGTTGAAATTGGCCCAGTGGTTCTGAAGAAGCAGGGCTAGAAATAATTATTTTTGTTTACTGGTCACTCAGGCTATCGCCGTAAATTTTTACTGGTCAGCTTAGTACTTTCACTGTCCCACTGGGCCAGTAGATTTTAAAAAGACTGGCCCAAAACCATAATAATAATAGTAATATTATTTTTATATTGTGATACTTAGAAGTACAACTTAAAAAAACAAGAAACAGCAGAAGTTGGGACACACAACCCTGTCAAGTTAACTAGCCAGACTGTGAATGAATTTTATTATGCATAAAAAAAAATGCTGTCCCAAAGGGCATATGCCCTCTGCAATATACTAGCCCAGATATAAAATTCACTGGCCCCAGACCAGCGGGCCATCAATTATTTTGAGCCCTGAGAAGAAGATGAAATCGTGAAAAGTTAATCAACGACAACAATTTCGATCAGAAAAGCTCATTTGAGCCTTCGGCTCAGGTAAGCTAAAACACTATAGGGAAAAAAAAATCAACTAACAGCACTTATAAGGAGATAACATTTTTAGAGATATTTGCATTGAGCCAGCATAACTACACTACTTGAACAAGATGTGTTTGACAGCATTGTATGGCAACTTATAGCCAAGGTTAAACTTTCTCAAATGCCAATCAAATATGTTGGTACCCAAAGTAAGGTCTTGTTTCGAGGAATATACCTGTGAACAAGAGGCCCATGGGCCTTGAATCGCTCTTCTGATAAACTGTACAACCTATCACTTCTATTTGAAGTATCCTGTATATTTACATAAACCCTTGAAATTCCAATTCACACTCTGAGAACCCAAGATGATTTTAAGCCAATTAGTACCTGAGAGTTGGTCATGATGACCTACTTATCACTTGTCATTCTCTGAGGACCCATCAACTAAGTTTGATGATTCTAAGCCAATTAATACCTAAGATATTTTTTAAAATTATAATCATAAAATTTTATAAGTAGGTCAAAGTGACCTACTTTTCAGTTGTTTTACTCCAAGGACCCAAGATGCATCAACTGACAAAGTTTGATGATTCTAAGCCAATAAGTACCCAAAATAGTTAATTAAAGCCATAAATTTTCAAAAGTAGGTCACAGTGACCTACTTTTCAGTCAACCTACTCCGAGGACCAAAGATGCATCAACTGACAAATTTTGAAGATTCTAAGCCAAATAATTCCTGAAAATATTAAATACAGCCATAAAATTTCAAGAGTAGGTCAACGTGACCTACTTTTCAGTTGTTGTACTCCGAGGACCCAAGACGCATCAACTGACAAAGTTTAATGATTCTAAGCCAATTAGTACCCGAAATATTTGATTAAAGCCATAAATTTTCAAAAGTAGGTCACTGTGACCTACTTTTCAGTTGTTGTACTCCGAGGACCCATGACGCATAAACTGACAAAGTTTTATGATTCTAAGCCAATTAGTACCCGAAATATTTTATTAAAGCCTTAAATTTTCCGAAAGTAGGTCACGGTGACCTACTTTTTAGTCGACCTACTCCGAAGACCCATGACCCATCAACTGACAAACTTTGATGATTCTAAGCCAATTAGTACCCGAAATATTTAATTAAAGCCATAAATTTTCAAAAGTAGGTCACAGTGACCTACTTTTCAGTCAACCTACTCCGAGGACCAAAGATGCATCAACTGACAAAGTTTGACGATTCTAAGCCAATTAGTACCCAAAATATTTAATTAATGCCATAAATTTTCAAAAGTAGGTCACTGTGACCTACTTTTTAGTCGACCTACTCCGAAGACCCAAGATGCATCTACTGACAAAGTTTGATGATTCTAAGCCAATTAGTACCTGAAATATTTAATTATAGTCATATAAATTGAAAAGTAGGTCACGGTGACCTACTTTTAAGTTGACCTTTTTTGAGGACCCAAGATGCATCAACTTACAAAGTTTTATGATCATAGGACTTAAAATGTCCAAATTATGCCTCTAAAACGCTTTGAAATCAAATGCCTGCAAAGTTCAAAAAGTAGGTCACTGTGACCTACTTTTTAATAAATATGTTTTATGGCCCCAAGATGCATCATCTTACAAGATTTAATGATTCTAAGCCTCCCCGTATTCGAATTAATGACCTTAATTGTTTTTAAAAAGATTAGCCATAAAATTCAAAAAGTAGGTCAAGGTGACCTACTTTTTAGTTGACGTACTTTGAGGACCCAAGATGCATCAACTGACAAAGTTTGATGATCATAGGCCTTAAATTGTTCAAAATATGCCTCTAAATCATTTTGAAAAAGAATGGCCGCAAAATTTAAAAAGTAGGTCACCGTGACTTACTTTTGAGTCAACATGATATGAGGTCCTTAGATGCACCAACTGACTTGAAACCACGCCCTTTGCCCCAGGGTAAATCCCCGTGCAAATTTTAATCTACAACATATCCTCATCCTTTTGTGTAAGTTTGGTGATAATCTGCCCAGTGGTTCTTGAGAAGAAGATTTTTTAGCAACCAGTACTTTTGTTTCTATTTTCCTAATTATCTCCCCTTGTTAAAGGGTCACAACCCCAGTTTTAGTATTAAAGGGAGCCCTTGGGCCAAGGATACCCTGTGACAAATTTGACAATTATTGGCCAAGGGGTTCTTGAGTTATGGCCCATATTCTAAAAAGTTTACGCACACCGCACAAATGGCCATAGCATTAGCTCTTTGAGCCTTTGGCTCAGAAGAGCTAAAAATGAAAGCCCTAGCAACAATCATTGAACAGATATGGAAAGGGTTAAATTTTTTCAAAAGTAAGTCAAACATCAAGGTCAAGGTCAAATGGTCAAAACTGATGGTGCCCAAGGAAAGGCCTTCTCACAAGAAATACACTTGTTAAAAAGTTATGGCCAAGGTAAAAGTTTTTCAAAAGTAGGTCAAACAATAAGGTCAATTGATTACAATTGTTGGTATCCTAAGGAAGATCTTGTCACAAGGAAAAGACATTTTAAATATTAAAGCCCTAGCACCAACTGTACAAAAATTATGGCCAAGGTAAAAAGTTTTCCAAAAGTAGGTCAAACTCCAAAGTCAAAGTTGTTGGTATTCAAAGGTCTTGTCACAAGAATTACATATGTGAAGTATGAAAGCTCTAGCACCGACCGTCCAAAAGTTATGGCCAAGGTTAAAGTTTTTCTAAAGTAGGTCAAACTCCTAGGTCAAGGTCACAAAGTCAAAGTTGTTGGTATCCAAAGGAAGGTCTTGTCACAAGGATTACATATCTGAAGTATGAAAGCCGTAGCACCAACCGTTCAAAAGTTATGGCTAAGGTTAAAGTTTTTCAAAAGTAGGTCAAACTATGAGGGCAAGGTCAAAGGGTCAAAGTTGTTGGTATCCAAAGAAAGGTATTTTCACAAGGATTACACATGTGAAGTATGAAAGCCCTAGCTCCAAATGTTCAAAAGTTATGGCCAAGGTTAAAGTTGAGTAAAATTTTGCAAAACTGGGTCAAACTCCAAAGTCTAGGTCAAAAGGTCAAATATGATGGTACCCAAAGAAAGGAATACACATGTGAAATATGAAAGCCACAGCTCCAACCAATCAAAAGTTATGGGCAAGGTTAAAGTTTTTGTGGATAGACAGACAGACAGGGCAAAAACTATATACCCCAGAATCTTCGATACGGGGGCATAAAAACAAAGTAAAACTAAAATCTACAATTAAGTTTTTAACACACCCTTCCATCAAACTTTGCATATTCAAGGAATGGATTTTCTCCCAGATTAGCATAGTTTTCAATTTGCTGAGACAGTTTGGAAGCTTTTGAAAATTCGCCCGGGTCCGAGTCTGGGTAGGGCAGAGACTTCTTTTCAAACAAATGACCTTTATCTTCAGCTGCAAAAGAAACAGGATTTTTTTTCTTTACAATATATCATAATTACACAGGATTACAAAGTAATTATTTCAGTGCATGAAACACATCTAACACCAAAATGCATTTGAGTTCATTCTTTATAAATATAAAATTGCCTGAGAAAGAAATAGCCAAAAATTTTGAAATATATGGCATGGATGTCATATACTGTTTAATCACTAATTTTCATGGGGGTTTAATTTTCATTGTTTTCGAGATATGAAGACACCCACAAATTCATGTCCACCACGAAATGCTAAATGTCATATACACAACTACTCAACAATTCTTCATCCACAAAATCAAACCCCCTCAAACCCATAGTTTTTCCCTCAAACCATGAAAATTTGACCCCACAAAAATAAGTGATTTTACAGTACATGAAGTAGTCAGCCAGTCAGTACCTGTGTAATCGGATGGACAGTCGCGCCATGAGATATTTTTCACTTTTCGTTGACTTTTCTTCTCCTTCTTTAATCTTTCCAGTCTCTGTGCAGTATTGGATCTTAATCTATGTCCTGTTGGAGTATATTGTTAAAATATATCAAAAGTTTATCTTAATTAATAATATATTTTTCTTTCCAAAATCTATTAATCTTTTTTATAGGATTTAGCTGAAAATTGGAAGCATACTTGTACTTCAAAAAAATTATTACCTATGTTTAATGGAAAGGTTAATGTAAACACACCAGATAGTAGTACTCCAATAAGACGATATTTCTACTGTCTGCTTTAGAATGCATGGTCTCAAGAAAATATGTGCACATCAGCTCTTAAAATTTCATTTTCAATTTTTTTTATTTGCTTTGGGAAAAACCCCTATTAAAGATTATTCTTTTCTAACTGCAGCCACTCTACTCACTGAAATATGAAACTACCATACATAATTAACCATGTTAATTAATGCACATTTCATGATTTATACATGTACCACATTTCTTATGAGTCAAACCTGTCTGGGGAGATGCATTAAAAAAGGGAACAGTGACAGAGACTTAATTACCCGTAACTTTGATCAGTAAATATGCAAATAATTCAGATGTTAGTTGATATTTTGCATGTAATACAAAATACACACCATATCCCATGTCTGGAAGGATGTCGTAAGAAGTAGAAAGTTCATGATCTGAAAACTCTGTACCACTGTCAGTTAGGGATCCATCTAGCCTAAAAAAAATTATATACATTGTAGATCCACATTGAGGAAAAATTAGAAATATAATCATTTTAGTCAATTTATAACTTAATTTTCAAGTTAAATTTACAGGGAGCAATATTCCCCTATATCTGATCCCAGCTGTTCCTATCCAAGCATGTGAAAATCAAAAATCACAACTAAGTCTTATTATTAAAATGTAATTGATTTCTTGTCTATGTAAAGAAAAGAATAAATTTTATTACATGTTGAAAAAAAACAAGTGTTTAAACTAATTTTCCTTAATGCAGTTTCATACCTGGATGATTTTTTTGTATCTCTGTCAGCTTCATCATTCTCAATGATTAATTCACACATGCCCGTATCATCACTTGTTATAAATGAATTACGTATATGAGAGAGTAAAAAAGCTGTATTGTCCATCATCGCCATGACTCTGCTCTTTGTGAAGTCTATCTTTGCACCAAAGTTTCAGCTCATTCTGTAATTACACAAATTAATAGATCATTACAGTATTATAATGCTCAAATGTCTAAAAAATGTTACATACTGTAACTTCTACACATAGTTTACATTTTAGATTCATATGTGTAACCAAAATAATAATAAAAAATCTGCAGCATCATATCATCAGGATGAATGATACTGTTCAAAAATAGATGAGATAGCATCAACAAAGACATGCAAGAAACTTCTACAAATCACTATAAAAGACAATCATTTTTCTTCATATATATGATGTTTAAATGCAAATGAGTCTGTGCCAAATTTCTGACAAACAACCCTCAAACTGAAACATCATTTTAAGACATGTAAAAAAATAAACACTGATAAATTATTCATTTTATCTGTTTATCTTGAAGCTGCAAAGACATAAATTTGTATGCCTGGTAGGAGCCTAACAGCCTAAGAAAAAAAAAATGAAACTGCTCTTATCACTGTCGAAAATCGGCATCCAAAACAAACTCAAATGAAGCTCGAACAAGAAATATTGATCGTGCAGTCATTAATTAAATACAAAATTCTGAGTATTTGTTAGGTTAGTAATATGACACCTTTCAGTTTCAGCACAGGGACTTGCTCCTGTGTCAGAAAAATGACTCTTTTGCATTTAAAGGTACGAAAGACTATTTCCGAAATCTTGATCATGAAAACGTATTTTAAAATGACAAACGGGATGTGGGACTTAGGTGTCAAGTTGACGCTGATTAAAAAAAAGATAACCAAAACAGCGTGGATTGGATAAATTGCAAATTAACGACTAAATTGTAGGTTGTCACGTAGTGATCTTTTTTTAAAAAAAAGATTTAGAATTACATTTAAAAAAAAATAACCCTCACAACACAAACGCCATTCTTCAAGTGCTACAACGTACTACAAGAGGTTGAACGGTTGGGATCAGTTTTGGTAAACAACCTTTTCTGTATCCTTACTATTTATGTCATTGATCCCACAGAAGATCCAAGACTTCTTGGAGATCAGTTTCAAACTATAAGGTCATAGAAAAACTTGCTTGCCAAAAGTCGTTGCATTCAATGTTTTATGGTGTGACCTTTGGGGCGAGCTCTGTTGTACTATCAAAAACCTTTCAAAAGCTTACACTTGTAACTTTGATCCGCCTATTCAAACCGCATGAGACACAGTATAGACGATTATGTGGCATGACATTGTATGCAACTTGCATTTCCATAAGGGAGTTTTAATAGGCCTTTTGGAATTTTTTTAACAAAAGACATCGTAGAGAAGATGCAATTATGCTATGTTTTTCTAAGCTCTCTTTAAGAACAAATATTCACTATAACTGTGGGTCTGTTATCTTTGCCATAATCGCATGAAATACTGGTAGTGAAAGAATTCTGGGAAGACTTCACATAAGAAGGACTTTCCTAGACAAATATACAGATTTAGTTAGGATTTTCTCTGTTCTTACATGTTAGTCTTGAGAGTGGTGTTTCATGCTTCTAGCTGTGCTCACTGTCACTGCATTGATTTTATGCTGATTTACAAGATTTTCAGCTAAATATTTATTTTTCATTTTTTGCACTTTAAATTTATATCCCATTTGGGATATTATTACCCAAATGGGCTATTCATATTTTATTTGATCGAGTGGTCCCAACCTGTTTAAAATTTCACCAATGAATTGTTATTGGTTTTATTATAACCACACTCCTTATATGTTCTATGTATAGCAGTCCAGAAAAGCCTATAAACATGGTTTCTGAATTCGGAGTTTTTCAAGTCCTAATTTTTAATACAGTTAGACCTCGTTATCTTGAATCCATGGGACTGAGAATATATATTCAAAATATCCGAGGATTCAAGATATCAATGGTAATATACTAGAGGAATATATGGTTATACTTCCAAATTACTTTGACATATCCATTGTATTTGAGATATAGGTGTTCGAGATACTGAAGTTCAACTGTATATCATATTATGATTTGTATCTACCTTTTGTAACATTTGATGTCATGTGAGTCCTTGCTATATTCTTACTTTTGATAATATCACCTGATCAAAGGGGCTTGTTCCTGGGATATAAAATGTTTGATGATCAATCCATTAGGGTGAGTGTAGTCCGAAATATCTGACGTTTTCCTGGCTTTTTTTTTAGTACTATTTTTATATTTTATGTGCCAGGAAAACGTCAGAACCAGCGCAATTACAAAAACTGGAAATTTCGCTGTCTCGGTTCGGAGTTGATTTTCGATACCTAGGAACCAAATTGAATGTCGTTTTCACAATTTACCAATAGCACAATGCTTCTAGTTCTCACCAATATCGATGAAAAGAAAACATCACTCATCATTTCGATACAGGACTTGAAAGATTTTAAAATGCACGGAATGAAAACAAATCTCGACAGTCAGATAAAATGTTTTCATCAGATTGTATATTTTATAAACAAACATAAAAACGATGTTGGTGAGTACTAAAAACATTGTACTATTGATAAATTGTGAGTTTGACATTTCATTCGCTTTGCAAATATCGAAAATCAACCCGAGAATGCCGCCTCTGGTTGGAGGCGGCGAATTCCCAGTTTTCGTAACGGCGCCGGTTCTGACGTTTTCCTGGCACGTAAAATTTCAAAATCATGAAAAAGCCTGGAAAACGTCAGATATTTTGGACTAGGGTGAGTGTAGTTTTCTTAATGAATAAATACTACAGCTGTTCAAATGTTAGATTTCCTTTGCATGCGTAAATGACAATGATGTTACAATTCTCGGTAAACTTCTGTGGTTTCTGCTTCTGTCATCTCTTCATGTAAATATATAGTATGTGTACGTTTAAAAAAAGGATGCATGCATGTACTATACATTAACATGAACTTTCAGTGCACATGCATCACATAGCATCATTTTCACATGTGATCATTATGACCTCGATAAATAACGGGCCCTATTAACAACTAAAATGTTTGGCAAAGGAGATAACTTCAGCTTTTCCATCATCAACTTCCCATATTTATGTAGTACATGTAATATACATTGTATATTGCTTTCACCTGCATATGGTGTTTATGTCTCCCAACTTATTTAATACTCAAGAGCATGCTTTAAGTACAATCAGTTTATAAACTGAGGCAGGCTACTGACAGATAAGTTGATGTTACAGTGATTTCAACATCCTCATTTAAAATTAGCATTTCATAAATTCTAAGGTTGTTATAATGACTGAATGATAGCAAATATAGCTTGACATTGGGTTGTATTTTGACTGACATATTTCACACCAATTGTTAGGTCTTTGGTTTTTATACTAACTTTGACTACAGAAAATTCTTTCTACATGATCAATATATAGGGTTCACGGCAGGTGTGACTGGTAAAAAGGGGATGCTTACTCTTCTTAAAGGCACCTGATCCCACCTCTTGGGTCCATGTTTTATGTCCTATTCACAGATTTTTATTTTATAGTTTTTTTCCTCCCTGGGGATTGGGTGGAGCCACAATAGGGGATTAAAGTTTTACTTAGGAATATATAGGAAAAATCTTGAAAAATCTTCTCAAGGACAGCAAAGTCTTGTGTAGTCATATTGATATGGAAGCATCCTTAGGTATTATAGATTTAGTTTTGTTCAAATCATGACCCCAAGGGGTAGGGTGGGGCCACAATTTGGGTTTTGTTTTACATAGGAATATATATGAAAAATATTTTGAAAAATTTTCTTCTCAAGAATAGTAAAGCCATAAGTAATTTCAAATGTGTTTTAATCATGTTCCTGGAGGTAGGGCAAGGCCCCAAAAGAAGATCAAATGTCAGAACAACATTTATATTTAAACTTTTCAATACCAAACTGATTTCTTTTTTTTCCTAGCCAAAGTGCTCAGGTGAGCGATGTGGCCCATGGGCCTCTTGTTTACACTCCTGTGGTGAAACTGAAAAATTTCCTTTTCAAACCAAAGTTTACTAAAATTTACAAAAAAAAAAAAAAAAAAAAAAAAAAGAAAGAAATCAATGAATTTCAATACATAAAACAATGCTCTGTTTGCTGTTCAATGCTGATGCCCAGAAAATGAACGTTTTTGAATTTATTCTAAAAAATGAGTAAGGGAAATGTTGAAGCACAGACCACTGTTGCTGAATTTGGATTTTTAGAATATGTAACACTGTAGTATTGTATGTCCAATTTATCAAAAAAAGTGATACTAAATTCAGGGATACAAAACTCTGGGTCATTATGAAACCCTTTTGTCAATCTAGAGTTCACAGTGTAATGAAATATTAGTAACTACTGGTATTCATTACTATAATTATTCCCTTTTTGACAGGATTTGCATTATTTTGGATGACTATGTAAATGTTGAATGACAAGACATGAATCTGCTTCCTCAAAATTATAAAGACTTCCACTCAGCTGAATACTGGGAAAACTTTTTCAAAAAGCGAGGAACAAAGGCATTTGAGTGGTAATTTTCTCCTCTTATCTACATTATAATGAAAAGAATAATGACATATTTTTTCATAAAATTAATGTAGTCTTGAGTGTATATAAAACAAATTTGTTAGTCACCATTACAGATTTTATTTGAAATTTTTAAGAAGCCCTAATTTATAAATTTATGATTACTCTTAGATGATCTCTTAAATGTTGAAGTTGCAAAGTGAACAATGTTAATTTTTTTAATTTGAATATTAAGAACATTATAATAAAAAATAAGGCTGTTATTAACATGTATTCTTGATATCTGAGTTTGTTTCACTTCTAGCTTATACTTTGTTTTAGGTATGGAGAATATCCAGAACTTTGTGGAGTTCTTCATAAGTACGTAAAGACGTCAGATAAGATCCTGGTAATCGGTTGTGGTAACTCAGTCCTGAGTGAGAATCTCTATGATGTTGGTCATCATGACATCACAAACATTGATATCAGTGATGTGGTAGTGCGACAGATGACAGACAGAAACAAGGGGCAGAGACCATACATGAAGTACATCAAAATGGATGCACTCAGTGTAAGGCTATACTTGTTGAATTATGTTTTGGATGAGATTGTGTTGTTAATATTCTTTATTTTTTTTTAAAATTTGGAATGACCTTTTTGAACTGCAGAGGGAAAATTATAGATTCCATGTTCTATAGATGTGATAATATATGCCTTTTGTTCACAATACATTATGGAATACATATGTATTACTTACATAAAGAGTGAGAGTCCTTTTTTAGCACACAAAGAAAAATATTAATTTTATGATACAGAATTTCTACTCATTCTATGAATCATTGTACATAGAGTTCAGATTTTAAAAAGAAAAAAACCCAAATTTATTTATATCAAAAATAAAATTTCTATTTGAGAATAAAGGTTTTGTGATTCATCATGTTACATGGAAATTTGACAAGAATGACTACAAAAAAATGCAAACTGCAAAAACTACAAAGCACCTGTTTATTATTACTGTGTTATATCAGTAATTATCAATGCATATAAGAGGATCATCCAAAAAGTTTGTGGACACATATGCTGTATTTTTTTTTAATAATGACACTGCCTAGCATGTGTGATAAGTTTTACACAGACCATGATAGAGTAAATATACATGTATAAAATTTAGAGCAATACACAATATATTACAAAAGTAAACAGCACAAATATTTTGTATATTCTAGACACATGACCCAATCTGACTGTTAAATTAAGCCAGATTCATAATAATGCCATGATTAAAGGATTTCATGTTTTCATCACATTATGGTGGTTTTTTGTTTCTTGCATCTTCTTCCAATTTGTACACAACATCTGATCAGTGAAAACCATTTATGCCACTTGTAAATCAGTGAAATGGAAATATTCCCATTATTACTTGTTGATACCATGGTTTTCCTCATGTCTAACAGCATTCCCACTAAACCCAAATAATTTCATGTCAAACACTGGTCTGTTAGGATGGCCAATGTTACTTTTTCATTTATGTACATATTCTTTCTGTTTTAGCTCACCTGAGCTGAATGCTCAAGGGAGCTTTTCTGATCACCTTGTGTCAGGCGTCTGTCCATCTCTCTGTGTGGCTGTTTGTTCGTCTGTAAACTTTTCACATTTTCAACTTCTTCTCGAGAACCACTGGGCCAATTTTAACCATAATTAGTACAAATTATCCCTGGGTGGAGGAGATTCTAAATTGTTAAAATGAAGGGCCAAGCCCCCTTCCAAAGGGAGATAATCAAGAAAAAGCAAAAGTAGGGTGGGGTCCTTAAAAAATCTTCTTCTCAAGAACCACTGGACCAGAAAAGCTTAAATTTATATGGAAGCTTCCTGAGGTAGTGTAGATTCTAAAGTCTTCAAATCATGGCCCCCGGGGGTTGGGTGAGGCCACAACAGGGAATCAAATTTTTACATTGAAACATAAAGGAAAAATCTTTAAATCTTTTCTTCTCAAGATCCACAAAACCAGGAGCTGAAACTTATGTGGAAGCTTCCTGAGGTAGTGTAGTTGTTAAATTGTTCAAATCATGGCCCCTGGGGGTAGGGTGGAGCCACAAAGGGAAATCAAAGCTTTACATTGAAATATAAAGAAAAAATGTTTAAAAATCTTTTTCTCAAGAACCATTGGACTAGGAAAGCTGAAACTTATGTGGAAGCTTCCTGAGCTAGCATAGATTGAAAATTGCTCAAAGCATGCCCCCCAGGAGTCGATGGGTCCATGTTAGGGATTATATAGTGAAAAATCCTTGAAATCCTTGAAACTCTTCAAAATCCACGATGAATCTTATTAATGTGGAAGCATCTTCCAGTAGTATACATCCATTTTTGTTCAAATCACAGCCCTTGTGTATAGGATGGGGCCACAAAAGGTAATAAAAAATACAGAGGAATATGTGTATGTTTGGGAAAAAAATTGTCGCAGAACAGCAGGGCCAAAGTGACTCAGGTGAGTGTGGTGGCCCATGGGCCCCTTGTTTTCTTGATATCTGGATAATAACCCATATTAATATGACATCAGAAAATGATCGGCCAATTTAGGTATGCCACATGTAAATTTTGTTTAGATTTGAAAAATGTAATCATTCAAATCCAAAAACTTTATTACAAAGTTTATAACATGTACTTTAACCCTTGGCTGTGTGCACTATCCACAACCTTTTAAGATGGTGATTTTTACATAAAATTAAAGGTCAAACCATCGAAACCAAACTATTTTGATATGGAATTTTTCAACAGATATTTTGGTTTTTGAAATAATTATATATATCTAATACCATTCAAAGAGGGCAAAAACACCATCATCCACAAACTTTTTAGACTGCCCTATATGTTGGTTACTGTTAAAGTATACATTTGTATAATGTATGGCAAATTGAGTTACATTTTATTTTGCCTGTTTCCTGCTTTTCAGATGGAATTTGAAGATTCCTCATTTAGTGTTGTCTTGGACAAGGGGACGTTAGATGCCTTAATGGTTGATGATTCTGATGCTGTGAATAAAGACATCGATAAAATGTTCAGTGAAATCGGAAGAGTACTAAAGCTTGGTGGTCGATACATTTGCATTTCTTTAATGCAAGACCATATATTGAATAAAACTCTACAGTATTTTCCTGATGTGTGAGTTTCTCTAATATTATTGCAAAAATGGGTAACAAAGAAGTAGGTATGTTGGTTGTTAAATAGTAGCACTGTGCTGTTAAGAACTTTCAGAGGTACTATATTGATATATTTAATCAGAACATTATTTTCTACTTCTAGAATAAAACCTCTTTGTAACCAGGTATTCACCAAAACCATACAGATTTACATCACCTAAATTAAGCCTTGAGAATTTGAGGAGTTATTGGTTGTATTTGTAGGGGATGGCCAGTGAGGATTCACAAGATAGAAACAGAGAATTCTGAAAACACTGACAAAGATTTCACACTGCCAGTGTTTGCTGTTGTGCTCACCAAATTCAAGAAATTACCAAACATGAAACCAGTAAGCAACAGGAAACAAATTGGATTTTGGTTAAAAAAAAAAATCATGGGGAGATTTTCTGATGTTAAATGTTGTAAATATAGTATTTTTACCATGTCATTTTTGTTTTTTGGTAGATACTTGAAATAAGCAGCTCCGAGGATAAAATCAGTCGATATAACTCGGTAGATGAAGTGAAGACCCTGATCAAAGAGGTCCAGTATTACGCCATGATAAGACAGAAACTCAGTAAGAGGTAACAGAAACAGCTTATATTAATATGGGAATAAAGTGGACACCTAAAAGGATTATCTATGTAGAGGGAAACTGTGTACTCCATAATGGATAGGGGACACAATTCATTCAGGTTAGACATGTACATATAGGTCCTGTATACTCCTTCAAGTTTTGCATGTATGTAGGAAAGTCAATGCTAAAGAGGGTTTTTGAACAATATAGAATGGAAATATTTTTAAAAAAATGTGGTCTATTTAACTCTTGAACAATGTGCTTGGAAAGTGTTCAAGGCAGGTTAAAAATATATTTAGAATTCTATAGTGAATTTTTCCCTATAAAACTCAAAGGAGAATACAGACAGTGGGGAAAGGAAGGAGTAGACATAGGAGACTAATGTTTACAGATCAAAGAAGGCTTGGATATCTGCTCAGTAAGAACACACGACTGAATGTAGAGAAATGGGGTTAGATTAAAGCCCTATCAGATCCTTCTCTTTGCTGAATTCCTTTCACTTTTTCAATGTTTTGTACCACACAATAGAAAGAAGATAGTGAAACATTGTTTTAGAATTACTACCAGGTTTTACATCCCTTAATAATACAAACATAAAATAGGCTTTCTGTCATTTGAACAATAGCAGATGACAGGAAGTAAAGTAAAAGGGAGGTAATAAATGAAAACTGCGTATATATCATAAGAAAGTAGGAGGTCTTGCCCCACGACAAAGACATTAACATCATATTTTACATATTTAAGCAATATTTTAAGTAAATATATCATTAAAAAATTCTCAACTTCTCGTAAGTAAAATTATATTACAGGAACTTATATGGTGAACAAGTTTCCTTGACGCTTTTCACATCCTCATCATCAGAACCTAGATACACCCTCCATATTGTTGATGTTCCAGAGACAGGCCTCAGGAAGTTTGCCATATTCATTGTTCCTCAGGGGAGGTAACTTGAGACTTTATGAATTATGAGACTTCTTGCTTCAGATATGCTTTTTTATAACTGTTGTGAACTGTATATTTTACATTTGTGTAGTACATGACTGGTTGTTAAGTTCTTATACACGTATATGTATTTAATAGAGAAACTGACTGGCTGTTTGGTTCTGAGGAAGGGAGGAACCACTTGGCTAAGAACGCTGGTTTTGAGCGGCTAGTGGTGGTCTCCTTGAGTAGGCACCACTCGTACTCTGATATGGATAGTGTTAAGCATGAGCTGTCTTCTAAAGTTATGGAGCTGGCACCACCAGGATTCAAAGAAGGAGTACAGGTACAAGCCAATATAAGATCTATAAGGAGAAAATAATTTTTAAAGGTAGGTAATGCAGGCAGTTAGACTTTTGAAAACTGTTACCAATGTGTAAAGGTACCATAACTAAATAATAGTGAATGAGTTCCCTACTAAATGGCTGGGACAGCAGATCTGGCAGATACAACTAATGAAAGGGCAAAATGAATACAAAGGCTATACATGTACATGTATTAGCATGGAAAAGATATGATGGAAGTTTAGTATTGTTCCATAAATTCTATATGATTGTTTATAACATATATGCATATAATTCTATAAATCAAATTCAGAGAAGGTTTTTTAAAGAACAAAAATTGGAGAGGTGATCATAAGGTCTTGGCATTGATGCTTATGTATTTTGTTCACACACTACATACTTTACAGATACCCTTCCTGTCCCTGGGGGATGACATTGGAAGCCGGACGGTGGTGTGTGAGGGTCACAGTCAGCTGAGTGGGGACTATATTGTGGAGGATGTGGTAGCAGACGGGGGTCAGATTTTTAGGCGACTCATCTTCACTTCTTGTCCAAACGTTATTCAATCTGAGGCCAGAATAAAGCAAGGTAGCTGTCTATCTCTTGGAAATCTTTAAGCAGTTTTAATCACAGCAGTAACCTTCATGTTCAATTTGAAATGTTGTAAAGGAAAATTGCATACTTACCATGTGTAACTGATAGAGGACTTCTAGTAAATAAGATTTTAAATTGTCCAAGTTGTCCATATTCCGATCATTTCAAACTTGTACTAGAGAACTTTTTTCTTAATTCTGTGACACAATATCTTTCAAGATAATTACCGTACTTAAGAGGTTTGAAATTCCATCTTAGATGATCTATGTAGAACATTTTGCTGGTTGATTAAAAGGATTTATAAATGGATGTTTTTTATATCCCCAGCTTGAAAAGTAGGGGGTAAATAGGAACTGTCCGCCCATCCATCTGTAACACTTGGGGATAGCCATCCTTTAACCATAACTCCTCTAACATCACTGAATACAATTTAATGAAACTTTCACCAATTTTTAATTTGTAATGACGTAGTGCATCTCCTAGTTTACTTTTCGATTGGACACATATTTGGGATTTCCCATAGCAAAACAAAGACATGCACTGCCATATTTCTGTAGAATTGGGGGTACATACTGGTTCCCATCTCCAGGCCTTTCAAAATCTGTCGGTACCAGCGCCACACTTTTTTATGCCCCTGGATCAAAAGATCCCGGGGGTATATTGTTTTTGTCCTGTCTGTCTGTTTGTCTGTCTGTCTGTTGTCAACTTTAACCTAGCCCATAACTATTGTGCTGTCAAGGGTAAGGCTTTAATATTTGACATGAGTGTTCATTATGACAAGATCTTTCCTTGGGTACCACCATATATGACCTTTTGACCTTGACCTTGGAGTTTGACCCAATTTTGCAAAATTTTACCAAACTTTAACCTTGGCCATAACTTTTGAACGGTTGGTGCTAGGGCTTTTATACCTTACATGTGTAATTCTTGTGACAAGACCTTCCTTTGTATACGAACAACTTTGACCCTTTGACCTTGACCTTTGAGTTTGACCTACTTTTGGAAAACTTTAACCTTTGCCATAACTTTTGAACGGTTGGTGCTAGGGCTTTCATACTTCACATGTGTAATCCTTGTGACAAGACCTTTCTTTGGATACCAACAACTTTGACCCTTTGACCTTGACCTTGGAGTTTGACTTACTTTTGGAAAACTTTAAACTTGGCCATAACTTTTGAACGATTGGTGCTTCGGCTTTCATATTTCACCTGTATATTTCTTGGGAGAAGGCCTTTCCTTTGGTACCATTAATTTTGACCATTTGACCTTGACCTTGATGTTTGACATACTTTTGAAAAAAACTTTAACCTTTTCCATATCTATTCAATGGTTGCTGCTAGGCCTTTCATATTTCACAGGTTTATTTCTTGAGACAAGACCTTACTTTGGCAACATATTTGATTTGCATTTGAGAAAGTTTAACCTTTGCTATAAGTTGCCATACAGGGGCATCAGTGTTTCACAAACACATCTTGTACCTGCCTGAAATCATGATTGTTTTGGCCAGAATGTTCGACTGAGAAAAATTCGATAACATTTAATTAAAATCGCTTCCATTACAAGGTACATGTACCTCCTACTTCTGTAAAAGTACCACCTGTTTCTAATCTCTTTGAAAGCCCTGCATCATCTGTAAATCCTCCTATATCACTGAATAAAATTTAATGAGACTTTCACAGAATCTTGTTACAAAGTGTCATTGTGCAATTTTATTTTATTTTATGTTCTGATTGGACAGATATTTGGAGTTTCTGATAGCAAGAAAATGAACTTTGCCACTATATTCGTATTGGAGTGGGGGGTATCATTTTGTGGGCTGTGTTCTCATGGTACCTCTAGTTTTTGTATTAATTCTTTTAATTTTTTTTTTCTCATATGAATTCATTGGAATTTGACATAGGCGCTTGGGTCAAAGATAATGCATATTATCTATATAATGTATTGTCGAGGAAATTCGAACTATATTCGTAACATTTTTTTTAAGCGCACAGTGGTAATTTTTAGTTTTTTGTAAATCTTTCTGCTTGATATAAACTAGACTGTCACATAAATTTGATATATTGCACGTTTTAAGAATGACATATCCAAACAGTATACAGTTGGGATATGTCATTCTTAAAACGTGCAATATATCAAATTTATGTGACAGTCTAGTTTATATCAAGCAGAAAGATTTACAAAAAACTAAAAATTACCACTGTGCGCTTAAAAAAAAATGTTACGAATATAGTTCGAATTTCCTCGACAATACATTATATAGATAATATGCATTATCTTTGACCCAAGCGCCTATGGAATTTGATATTGTGGAGAAAAAAATTTTGTTCACAGAGCCAAAAAAGAAGGGTAAGGGAAAGAAGAAGCCTGTCATAGATCACAGTTACCTAGCCAGCCAATATTATGTTGCTATGGTTACAGGATTAGGATTTCTCAAGTCTGTAATAAATAAAGATGGTGAGTTGTCAAAGCATTAAATAATAGCATACACACCTGTAAAAATGGCTACCTTGTTATATGAAATATGATTTCTCTCTCAGAGAAGTTAACCTGCATGTTGATTGGTCTTGGAGGAGGGGGGTTGCCAAACTTTCTACATCAGCATATATCTCAGGTAAGATAATTATTAACTAGTGTGCAGTTTTTTTGCATTGAAAAACATTTTTAAGCTCAATCTTTAATATATATTTGTACTCTTATACCTGGTTATGGGAGGCAATCAGAATTCACTTATGAAAATGATATACAGATTCCAATGTTGTAAGTTTATTTTAGAGTTAAAAATGGCAAATATTTTTTTCATCATTAAGGCCCAAAGTCCTCATGTTATTTTGTGATATACACTGATTTTGTGTTATACACTGTAGATTGAGATAGATAGTGTGGATATAGACCCAGACATTGTAGAGGTGGCCAGGGAATGGTTTGGATTTCAAGAAGATCAGAGACAGAGGGTTCATGTTGCTGATGGAATAAAATTTGTACAAGATGCAGTGAGAGAGGGTACATACATGTAGCTGTCAACACTGAATTAATATTATAAATATTTTTACCCCCCCCCCCCCCCCCCCTTTTTGAAAAAGGGGCATATTAGTTTGCACCTGTCAGTAGACCAAGGTGTTGTTAGCTCAGTATCTTGAGAAACTTTGTTTATCAAACTGGTACACTTATACCCTAAAGAAGTAAATGATCCTGTAGATTTTGAGGTCAGAAGGTCAAGGGTCAAACTACTCTGAACACAGGAAGATATTACCCGCTCATTATCTTGAGAACCCTTTGCTTGACAGAAATCAAGCTTATTTATGCTGGTACCCTTTAAGAAGTATGTTTGTTTGTTGTTTAACTTCCCCATTGAGAATTTTTCACTCATATGGAGATGCCACCACTTGCCTGTGGAGGGCTGCAAATGTAGACAGTTACTTGGCACTCAGGGCCATTGAGCAGTGAGGGATCTTTTTCGCCAGCACCTACTGCGACAGGGACCTCGGTTTTAGGTCTCATCCAAAGGACTGGTCTCCACATCCCGCAGTGGGATTCAAGGATGTAAGGATCAATCAACTCTTTATACCTTGACTCAATTGCAGATGCTCTCACCACACAGGCAACCCCTTTAAGAAGTAGTTGACCTACATTGATTTTGAGGTCATGAGGTCAAATGCCAAGGATCAAACTTTTCTTGATATAATATATAATATTAAGATATTGTCTGCATGATGTCTTGAAAACTCTTGCTTGATAGGTATACTTGAAACTTTTTACACTGGTACCCCCTAAGAAATAGATAAACCCTATTGATGTTGAGGGCACAAGATAAAAGGTCAAAGGTCAAACTACAGTGGACATGGAAACTTTTATTCTCTCAATATTTTGTGACAGACATCAAACTTGGTACACTTGCACCCCCTAAGGAGTACCAGTTTTTTTTTCAAGTCACATCACAAACATTCAAAATTAAAAGTTAAATTAATCCTTTTCAGTATAGCAGGGGGCATATATGTTTCTAAAGTATTTTCTTCTTTTGCTTTAAAACCTGTGTTTAATTTAAGAACAATTATATGCTTTATCCATTAGGTCTTAGGATGCTCTATGTAGAAATATGTGTGATCCTTATATAGGTGGTTTTATGTTTTATAGGACAGAAGAAAGATCTTGTAATCCTAGATGTGGATAGTAAAGATAGAACAGTTGGAATGAGTTGTCCTCCCCTGCCTTTTGTAGCCACATCCTTCCTTTCTACAGTCAGAGATTTGTTAAAAGATTCTGGTGAGCTGAAGATCTAATTTTACAAGTATTCTCTGGTAAAGCATGTTCACCAAGGCTTTTATCCAGGGACATCCTGTGTTTCCTCTATCACACAGAAATTGTTCTACCACAAACTTCCACACATATTTTTTTCCAAGTGTAAGCATATGTAGTCTCAACTTATAAGAAGAACAAGAATTTAAAATTGGACATAGAATGAAAATGATAAACAGATAAATTGACTGGGCTTTTGTACATAAAGGGAACCTTGGAACAAAGTTTTTTGCAACGTAATTAGAAAAGCAAAAAATGTTGAAAATAAACATTAATTTTTTTTTAAAGATTTGATTTTAATTGTCTTTAGGATTAAGAAAAAACTATCAATTTAAAAATATGGTGAATACTCTTTTGTTGTTTTATAAGGTCTACTGATGATAAATGTGGTCTGTAGAGATGACAAACTGAAAAGTCAGGTTCTCAACGACATTATGGAAGTATTCCCCTGTGTGTATACTAAAGACTTCTCAGATGATGTGAACACTGTTTTGTATGCCTTACCCTCCCAGCCTGTCCTACCTGACCCCACAGAGAAACCTGACACTGGGGGCAAGAGGAAAGGGGGTTCAGTGGACCCATTAATCAAGGCTGTTAGTGCCAATGTGACAATGTTACAAAAGTCTATAACAGACTCCAACAGCAAAGTGGATATTGACCTTGTAGAAATGTTGGATGGGTTGACACTGACAAGCAGGTGAACACTTTTATTTTGGAGAAAATACAGATTTTATATTAGAGATTTCTTTGTTGTCATTGAATTTTGAACGTTCTCAGGTTATCTAGTATAGTGGTCTGGAGAAAAAATGGTTACATAAGAGTTATCTCTCTTTTGCTGAAAATTGTGGAAAAACTCGTGTTCCTGAATCAGAATTGGCCAATATTTGGGTCCCATATCATGGCCATATGTATAACAAAGGGACAGAGAGTAGTATAGGAGAATTTTTTGGGCAATAATATGACATGTTTTGTAACAACAATTAACAAATGTTGGAATTGGTTTTGTTTTTTTGTTTTTTTTGTTTTTGTTTTTTTTGTTTTTGTTTTTTTTTTGCTTTGTGGATGTGACATGTATGCAATATCTATTGTACCCAGTGATGTTAAGTTACTTTACAGCACAACAGAGTGTAACTTAATATATACATGTACTAGTAATCTTCAGACTTCCCAACCTGAATATCTGTGCAGGAAATAATGTCTGGTTTTATTTCTCTCTCTCTCAAAAAAAAATCTTGCATGATTCATATCAGATGTATGGGTTCAGATTGAGGGTAGGACATGCAAGAAGACAATTATCAAACAGAGGGGGAATAATCATTATGTACAAAAGAAATTATTTGCCAAGAGAGGTAACTCTTTATTTGATTAAAGGACCTTCTAGTTCTATTGGTATTAAAATTCTTTGGTATTTTTACACAGAATGATGTGCACGTAGATCTAAAATACTCAGTTTGAAATCGATTAAATCTGAGAACATTTTTCCAGGGGGTAAAATCCTGGTACTCTAAGTTGAAAATGAACTCGATGTTTATACATCTGTATAATATATAATTTTTATATGTTCAAAAACATTTTTCATTAGTGTATACAGTGTAAAATGATTTTAATGTCTCGTATTTTGCCTCATATGGTATACTTCATTTGTTCAAATTTAGTTTTAAGCTCTACTGGTCAGAGACTAGAAGAGCTTATGCGATAGTAAGGTGTCCATCGTCCGTCCGTCTAGCTGTCCGTCTGTAAACAATTTTTCAAAATGCTGCTGTTCCTATAGATTTGGTCTGATTTCAGTATAAATTAGCACACAAGTAGATTACACTAATATACATATTTCCATCAGTCAGTTTTTGATTTTGATGAACGATGTTGCCATGGTTACTAAATATAAAAATTTCTGTGAAATACTTTCAAAACGCTACTCCATCTACAGTTTTGGTCTAATTTCCATATACCTTGGGGCACACAAGTAGACAACACTAAGATACATAATTTTTTATATCGGTATTTTAATTTAGATGAATGTTGTCATGGTTACAAAAAATAGAATTTCTAAGAAATACTTTCAAAATGCTACTCCTCCTAAAGTTTTGGTCTGATTTTGATATAACTTGGCATACATTAAGACTACATTGAGGTACATGAGCTGAAAGCTCAAGAGAGCTTTTCTAATCACCTGTTGACTGTTGTCCATCCGTCTGTAAACTTTTCACATTTTCAACTTCTTCTCAAGAACCATGGGGCCAATTTTAACCAAAATTGGTACAAGGCATTCTTGGGTAAAGGGAATTTCAAATTGTTAAAATGAAGGACCAAGCCCCATTCCAAGGGAAGATAATCAAGAAAAGGCAAAAATATGGTGGGGTCCTTAAAAAAATCTTCTTCTCAGGAACAACTAGACCAGAAAAGCTGAAATTTATGTGGAAGCTTTCTGGGGTAGTGTAGATCCAAAATTGTTCAAATCATGGCACCCGGGGGTAGGGTGGGGCCACAATAGGGAATCTCACAATAGGGAAAGTTTTACATTGAAATATATAGGAAAAATCTTTAAAAAACCACTGGGTCAGAAAAGCTGAAACTTATGTGGAAGCATTCTGGTGTAGTGTAGATTCTAAATTGATCAAATTATGACCCCCGGGGATAGGATGGGGCCACATTAGGGAATCCAAGTTTTACATTGAAATATATAGGAAAAATCTTTAAAAAATCTTCTCCTCAAGAGCCACTGGGCCAGAAAAGCTGAAACTTATGTGAAAGCTTTCTGAGGTATTGTAGATTCTAAATTATTCAAATCATGACCCCTGGGGTAGGGTGGGACCATAATAGGTATTACAAGGAGGAAAATCTGGTGAAGATCAGCAGGGCCAAACTTACTGTGGTGAGTGTTGTGGCCCATGGCCCTCTTGTTCTATTTATTGCTGTTGCAAAGTTTAAGTCCAAAGGCTACTTTTCTTTTCCTTTGTTATATGTACAAACCAGTAGAGCTACGTCTTGTCAGAGACTTCTGATTACTTCCATTTTCTATTAGAAAATCGTCAAAATTACATACAAATCTTATTTTAGTCAACAGACTGTTCTCCCATATATGTTTTACACTATAGATCTTGTAGTTTGTAAGATAATCCACGTTGATTTTATCACCTTTTATCATTTTCTTAAACGTTAAGAGTCGCCTAGGAAAGACCAAGAACTTCCCATATTGATTGCGTTGGAATATTTAAAAATATCTGAGAAGTCACTACGGTTAAGCTGTCATTTGAATTTAAGAAAAAATATTTTACTTTCAGATTTAATCTTCTTCCTCCTACAAGTTTAATTTTTAAACAGAAATGACGTCAATATTGTAACATTTGACAACTTTTATGAATTGGAATGTTTAAATAGATTAAATGCTGGCGTGTGTGTCTCGCTAACCAGTATAGAATAATTTCAATTTTTTATTCTCTCAAAACCAGATCACTGGGATCCAACAATGTAGAAAAAATACTATGTATATTCACCTGCCCATGACTTCTAGGTGAATATGAGGATTTATTTTCTCCACATTAGACTAAATTGATGCAAATAGTTTCGGAAAGTAATTTCACTTGTATCTAACCTCCACTAATATGAACATAACATTAAAGCACATAGATTCTTGTGTGTGTTGGGGGGGGGGGAGGGGGGTTGCAGGAGGCCTGCCCCTCTCCCCACCTTTTGAGAATGTAAATTTTTTATTTAAATTTTTAGGATAAAAATTTTCAATGAAAGCCCCTCCCCTCGATTATGGACCTTTACATCAAATAAAATTTTTAGTTAGGAGAATTCTTTTTTTTTGGGGGGGGGGGGCTGGTCAGAGATTTGTTTTCAGGTAAGTTGTAATTTTTGTTCCTTATAATGCCCCCTTTTTCAAAATAAATCCTATATCTGTGCTTGACTTTTATTTTTTCTACCTAGCACCTAAACTAGAATTTATAAATTCCAAAATATACAACTGGTTGTTTTTTAACCACGTTTCTCTCATTATGTTTGGCTAGTACTTCAGGAAATGTAAACAAGTTACATGTAAGATGGTATGTATTGCTAAAATGAGTGAATGTCATTCAATCATTGAATAATATAATAAAACAATTATTGCTATTTTTTTTGGTCAATACGATAATTTAGCCATCTTCGAAGTACAATATTCACCTCGCCCTTCGGGCTTGGTGAATATTGTACTCCTCAGGTGTCTAAATCATTGTATAAGTATTGACCTCAAAAACAAGCAATAATTGTATAATTTCTTCACTGGAAAGTGAAAAAAATAGCATTAAATTGCAAGTGTCTGTGTTTCAAATCAGATTGGAATTGTACAGTTCTTGTCTGGTTCATAACTTAATTTGTAATTGAAAAACATCAGAAGCTCACGAGGGCACTGATTAGAGGTGTTCTGTTTGTTTCATATCACTACCCTGTGTCATTTGGACGAGGTCATTAATTTATGACGAAATATCTTACAGTACATTGTACTGGTAGCTTTAAAATCGGTCAGATGAATCTTTTGTTGTATATACCGTATCCTTGCCATTATAAGTTTTTGTTACCTCAAGGACATTCAACGTATTACAGCAGTGACGTAGAAGCTCTATTTTCTTTTCTTTTCTCTTTTAAATTAATGCCTTGAAATGAATGATTTATGGTAGCTTTAAGATATTTAAATTGATTTGAATACTAGTAATAATAAAAACTGTAGGTGTAGGCGTACCTTAGCTATTGTTGTGATTGACACAGATTTAAGTTAAAAAACTTGATTTTTAAATACATTGCAAAAGAGTTTAAATACATTGCAAAATATATATTTGTGAGGAATATGTTGGTTCTTATGTTGAAATATATTTGTTGTGATTAATCTCATTGTTATAATACTCAAGAATGATGATTTTTACAATTCAAAAGTTCTTATGCAATTAGCAAACATTAAGATATAGAAAAAGAGAGATACTGGTATACACAAACACTGCAAAATGGATCAAAATCACGAAGAATAAAATCAACACCAGAAAACATCAAAAGACGGATTTTCATTTCTCCATAATGAAATTTTTTATATAATGCACAGTTCACATAGGCCTATGACAAGCAAAAATAATTTATGTTTTCACATAATCTTCACGTAATCCTAAAAAGCGTTTAGGACTCTGTTATAATTTCTCTATAAATAATAGCCGAGTATGCGTTTCTATACATATACACAATATCGAAATAAAGAATGGAAGTTATTCCCCTTTCACCAATTCTTATTTATTGTGGAAGTTTTACTCTAATGTGTGTTGCATGATGATAACCCCCCCCCCCCCCCTCCCATCCCCTTCCGGTACACTTGGAAATATACATTGAAAGATCCTCCTCCTGAATTTTGAACACACTCATTTGCTCTTAAGGACATACGCAATGTAGTTTGAACTTTATTGTCTTTTTCCCTGGAGTTGAAGAGTTCCAATACTTAAAGAAATTGTGTGCTACATTTGTATGTCTATATTTGCTGTTGTACACTTCTTTTAAAACAAGTTTGGATAAACAAAACGTCTAGAATATGTGTTTAGTAATTTTTGTGTATTTTTCTTGAATTATATAAGAATTTTCATCAATTGATATCTTTTCAAAACCCCTGGTAATGCATGCTGATTTTTTGTCGACGAACACCTGATGGCATTAGAATCTTAAATTAAGAATATCTTGAAAAATTATCAGTAGGTAAGGTACGTTGCGTATGTCCTTAAGGAAGCTCTAAACATTGACAAGAAATGTTTTTTGGACTGTGATAAAATTTTACTGCAGAAAAGATGTATATATAATGAATTTTTCGAGTTCATTTTCAACATAGGGTACTTGCCATATTTCTCCAGGAAAAAATGTTCAAAGACAACGAAGTATTAGTGAACAGAAATCACTGTTGTTTACTTACATTTGGAATGTACATGCAAACTGTTACAGTGTTTTCAATTACTTTATTTTGGTCTAATTATCTAATATAATGTTAAGAATACTTCAATCTATTCTAAATTGTGTCATTAACTATGGAGTTTCATTTATTTCATTTTATACCAAATTGTAGATCACTCTCTCTGCATAAAACTAAGAAGGAATTTGAACTCTTTACTGTGCAGTATTGAGAGCTTCCTTAAGCATGTAATTTTGAAAGGGATTCTCGTCGTTTCTAAATTTAGTACTTGTCTACTTGATATATTTTTTGGGGGCAAAAGACCTTGAATTACTCTTGCTGTAAAAGGTGATTTAATTAAGATCAGTACTGAGTGCATCCATCCAAGACAACTGAGACAAATAAGATAAACATGTGCAACATTATATATGTATGTTTGAATTACATTGTACTTGAAAATTTTGGATAGCCATTTGCGATTCCGTAATTTTTGTCTTCTTGATGACTTGACGATTTAATCCTGAATAGCTGAATGAAAAGGATGTATATTTTTTTTCACATCGAGTAGTAGATCTATGAGTAATTTAATTGTAATGTTTATCATATCCGAATTTCAGTCAGATAACTATACACAAGTACTAGTATGCTATCCCAAAAAATAAAAACTTGCATATTTTATGAAAAATATTTTTAGTTTTACATATTTTCAAATTTCAAATAGAAAATCCTATTCTCAGAGAGAGAGAGAGAGAGAGAGAGAGAGAGAGAGAGAGAGAGAGAAACTGTCAGGACATACATGTACTCAATGCTTGTTATTTTATCACTCTTGACGTACACTGGTCTTGTAGGCGCATTTAATGAATTGATATGTTTTTATTGCATTCTTCAATATTTTGAAAACGTGGTCTGACTGACGTTTTCCTCAAAATGGCCTATAATTGTCACTGGCCGACAGTATAAATATTAGTATATAAATATTGTTACCAAAATGAAGCTAAGTTAAGGTTAAAATGTTCAGCCGGGTTATACCGTACTCGGTCGATACTTGAGGTTTAAATAATCAAAATAATGGGAAAAAGGTATGTACATTTGAGCTAAGACACCAATATGTTATATCAAATCATATTCAAATAGTATTGTGCAATTTTTAGATACAAACAAAAATTTCAAATAGTCTTTGAACTTTATGAGAGAGAGAGAGAGAGAGAGAGAGAGAGAGAGAGAGAGAGAGAGAGAGAGAACTCCTCTAATATACGACATTGCCGGTAAATGCATTAAAACATTGAAACAAATGAATGTTTCTAGCATCAAATAGAAAATGCTTGTATCGCCTATTTGAATGGTAAAATACATTTATATGCAATAATGATGGTTCCCAGCAACGTTTAGTTACAACAGCTGATGTTCGAGTGCACCTTAATGGCGTGGGATATCGATCAGGAGTGTCGTCATTGGTGGCTAGATCATTCCGGTGTGTCTTGAAGACAAAGATTTGGCTGTTCAAAAGGATTTTTTATAATAGTAAACTGAATAGAAAATGATTTGATATTCATGCGACACATTTCGTGCACATTTCATGACCAGATCACGTTATAAACGTGACAAATTAATAATTACTGATTGAAGCTGCAATATGCTACACTTCAAGGCAAAAGAAAATCTTTTCATGGACGATATGAACAATTCCATAAACTGATGTCTGAATTAGAGTCTGATATTTTGGTTGGAAAGGCTCAAATTAGTATGACGACTTACATTCTCTATATTTTATTTAAAAAATAAGACAGACATTCTCTATATTTGATAAAAAAAATATTGGCATAAAGTTTCACAAGATTTTTCTTTGAAGAGTTTGCAGTTTTGTTATTTTAAAACTTTGAAGGATTCAATAAATATACGCGTCACTGTACTGTTGTATTTATATTAAAAGTTTAAAATTTATAAAATAAAATTCATCAATTTTACAAATGCCGATATAAATAAGATAAGCTTAAAGATTAGCTTAAATTGATAATTTTTTTGTGAAATAAAAAAAAACCCAGATGGACCTCTTAAAGTTGTATGAGTTACTTGCAAATACTTGTAAATAATGAAAAAAAAGAGAGAGAAATCTATATTTTGACGTCATTGGAATGTCCTTGATTTTATTATAAGGTTGGTAAGATGACAGTTGAATGATGAAAATGGTGTTCTTATAATGGTTGTCACATGTTCCCGTTTTCCCTGACTTTTTAAGGGCGTACTTAATTGTATTAGGGATTAGGGATATGTAGGGTTAAACTGATGACGTTAATCTTCGAGTATCCTGGGTTCTTTCAAAGTGTCTTAAGTCTCTATTTATACAATTATAGCCTTCTTAATCCTTTAACGCCCAAAAACATCAAACGATACAATATATCAATTGAAGTACAGTGTTACCGATCTAGGTTAGATTTCATCGATGCAATTGTTGCCCTTCGCTTTCGCTAAAATCGTTTATGTATTATAAACTAATTTATTAACTATAAATTCAATTTATTGTCTATATAAAGCATACATCTCACTGCATAATATAACATCAATTCATACAAATTGTGAGGCATAGCACAGGAATTTTTTTAGTAGAAAATAGTTCTTGAAACGTTGATGTTGAAAGAATACCAATAATAGGTTTAGAGTTTTTTACGGCAGGGGGTGGGACTCTTGGCAAAATAAAACTCCTTTAATTTTTTTTTAGTCGGAGAACATCCACATGATATGCTAGTAGTCAGTCGTATGTCAGGACAGTTTTATGTTACACTGGTATCTATATCGTAAACCTTTTATGTTAACTGTTCGCATTCATTGTACTAACATACCGGTACCTCATGTTGGGGGGTGGGGGGGGGTTAAGTGAAACAACATACTCTCAAGTCTGTATAAGAACCTTTTTTTTTAATATGTTTCACAAACTTTATCAACTCTTCTGTAAAAGTTTAGAGACAAACTGCTATAAATAAAAATATGACAAAAAAATATGGTGGTAATTTTATTCACATGTGGACATTTGAGGTTTTTCTGTAAAATCCGAACATAGGGTTTAATTAACACAAATTAGATCCAAACAAAGAAGATGGGCGAACAAATCGAGCGAAATGCCTATATTGCAACAAACGAGAAGGTGAAAAAATAAATCTAAATTATAAAAAAAATTCTTTGATATTTCTTCGAAAATTAAAGTATACTTCATTTTAAATCTCCACAATTTGCAAAAATCTCACAAAGATTGAAATTATTTGACTATGAAATAGCATACACACACTGAAGAGGACAAAAAGGATCATTTTCTCATACGATGATACAATTTTTCTATATGAGTGGGTCTTCGCTCCATTTTTTTTTTTGAAAGTTTATCCTCAAAGTTTGCGTAAAAATTAACATTTTTTGGTTAACAAAAACATGGAGCAAAGACCCACTATACCTAAAAATGCCCTTTTATGACACAACATTTGCATATTTCCGAGAAGTCCATTTATTCAAGGGTCATATCACAAACATGATTTACATGCCACCGTTCATTAAGATATGTGTAGCGTAGTGGTTAGCGTGTAATTCTCAACGGAAAATGTTACCCAGGGTTTTTCTATTACTAGGGTTCGAACCCCACAAAAACCACATTATTTTTAATAACAGAATATTTTTTGCTGAGAAAATTTTCCTCAGAAAAGTTTTTTTCCCCATTATTTCAATAATTTCATTGATGAGAACTTCACTCTAAATACTAAATTCACAAATTGAATATGATTTTTATATATCTGAAGCTATAGACATTCTGCGAGTCTTGTCCACCCATCTCCTTTATTAACCCGGGCGGACTAATAAACAGACATCATTAATCCACACTGCAGATATACTTCACAATCCGATAAAAAGTGGGAGTGAGGAACAGACCAATGACGTGTACAGGTCTTTTACATCAAATGAAATATAACACTTTAATAATGATAAAAATAATTATTTATTGAATAAAGCAGCAGTTTTGATGCAATTATAAAAATAAGTAAATAATAGAAAAGATATGGATTGTTTGTTACTGTATATATAACATACATTTAAATCGCAGTGTTGCATAAATAAATGTCAATAAAACAAATAAAAAACATGTATACGTATAAATGTAACATTTATGAATTGTGGGATTCTACAGGTAGAATACGATGCAGAATTGTATATAAATGTACTCACTACATGATCAAAGAACAAACAAAATAGCATAAATATACATGTACATGTATATAAATACATTTGTATGTATGTGTTGCATTGAAGTATGAGAATTGCACATTAAATCAGCGATATGTGTGAGGTGTTAATGTATTTAGTGTACAGCAGTTGACTACCTTTGCAAACCCTATCACATTAATGCCACGGTAAAACCAGATTGTTTTGGCACTAAAAGCATTTGGAAGCATATTTATGCGTTCAGGTATCATTAAACCTGAAGCATAAAAAGCATATTGATAAATTATGTGTAATAAAATCATTTTGAATCCAAAACAAGTTATGACAGACCGAAGAAATGATTGTTGTCAAGATTGCTAATTCACAACTTTATTAAAAAAAAAGTGACACTGTTTTCCCAAGTTTTGTATACCAGGTCCTCTAAAGAGAATAAAACACAGTGTATCACCATTCACCAGTCTAATGACTCTTTCTGGAACTTTAATCTGGGACTATTTTCGGAGTAGAACTGAGAATACCATCTTCTATGTTTAGCAACGAGAGAGTCCTCTTTTGATTTCACAAACATTGGTTTCCTTTCATATCGTTTGTTGTTCCAAATCATTATGTCTCTTTCCAACTGCAAAATATATAATAACGATTGATAAAATTTCATGCTAATTACATTAAAAGCTTCACACCATATTTGAATACTATAGCAGTTTGAAAAATGGTGTGCTGATACAAGAAAGACAATTTTCTTTTAATTAATAGTTGTTTGTGTCCTCCAGTCAAAGGGGAATTCTTGCCAATTTTACATGGCCGTAGGAACCGGCGGAGGGGGGGGGAGGGGGCGGGGGCCGTGCCCCCCCCCATAATTTTGCCGATATATAGAAAACTACAGAAAACATAGCTACTATATGCTTGTGCCACCTCAATAATAACGTCTGATGACCTTTTTTTTTTTGCTTGTCAAGGAATTTTGGTAGTTTAAGTGCCCCCTCAACTGAAAATGTATGGTTGTGCCCCCTCACAGTGAAATTGCTTCTACGGGCCTGTTTTATTTTGCCTAATTATGACATCTTGTTACAGTTGTTCCTCTGGCTATTCCTAAAGGTTCATTTTTGTGCACTTAAATAAAATGTACCTGAATGGCCTCTCCTAGTAAGAAAAATTTGCCCACAAATGCTGGCATATTCTTCTGGAAGTACAGGTTATGGACTAACTTCTGGAGCAGTGGTTCTGTGGGAACAAGGTGTTGAACAAATGCCCCACTTCCTATGGGCGAATCAAATGTTAGATATACAATACCAGGTCCTATCTGAAAAGAAAATTAGAAATTAAATTTCAAAATCATGAGCTCAATTTTCATGGACGTAGGAACCGAGGGAAGAAGCAACCCCCCTCCCCCTCCCCCAATAATTTTTCTGATTCATAATATATACTACGGAAAACAAGCTACATTATGTATGTGCTCCCTCAATATGAAGACTTCTTTTGCTTGTCATTGATTTTTTGCTTGGCATCCCCCCCAAATATATTTGGTTATAATACTTCCCCCAACTGAAATTGCTTCCTATGAGCCTTGTTTTACATTCAATTTCTTAACATTTACATTCAATTTTAAACTCTTTCTTGTATTCTATTCTGTACTATTAAATAAGGATCTATTACTTACAACAAAAACAAATAATAAGGAAACACTGATATATGTTTCTAACTTGTTTCCAGATTCTGCTATTTTTTTCCTCCACTGTATGTACCTCACGCTTGTTATTTTCAAATAAGATACTTCTATGGTTTTAACTAATTTCTGAACGAATTAAGAAACTTATATTACATAGCTTACTTCCTGCATGTGTTTAAGACTGTGGAACACAAATACATCTTTAGCGTATAAAATACAATCAATTTTGTCATGCTACAAAGTTAATTGTAAAAAATTCTAATATAGGTTTAAAATGCACGGAATCTATAATTATGAATTTCATTGCACAACTGTAAAATAAATCTAATATAGTTGATAAGAAATAGATATGCGTAGATTTTCTCAGTATTAATCATAAATTTTACCAGTTAAAACACAATTAATATATTTAATTATCAATAACCACTAAAACCGCTGGTTAATAACGTTAACCCTCGTTTTCTCGTCCTATTGATTAAAATATGGAAAGTCGATGAGTTTCTCGCAGCGAAGCGTAAGAAATGCTCTGTAAGACATCATTTTCTAATAAACTCCAACCACTGAGTGCGTCATTTTAATACTGCACTCAGCAACATTACGATCTTTGCGCTGTTTTTAAAAGTGCTTTGTACACTACACGGACAAGTGCTTAGTTAAAGTTTTAAATGTTCCTTTCTAAAGTGTGAAATCTATGATATTCATGTATTTTTTTCTCCAAATAATATGTTTTACATCGGTTACGCAATAATAATTACTTTTTTAAATTTTCAAACGACACATATTATAAATATAGATGACCCCTAACTATATTCATTTTGAAGGAAAAATTCCCTCTATTTAGTAACGTGTTCAGGGCTAAAAAAAAATTAAGTGAACCATTTGCCCGGGGCTAATAAATTAAGGAAATTTGACCCTTGCATATACATGTGTCTGATGGACCAGTATTTTTTTTTTCCAGAAATATTAATTATTCCCGTAAGATCAACTTAATTAGTAAATAAAGATGAGTGAATATAAATACCTGTCTCGCAGTGACATCCATGTCAATAGGTCGGAGAGCCTTTCCAAACAGGTTCATGGAATGCGTTAGTCGGAGTGTGCCAATATGTTCGTTAGGGGGCGGACTTGGTTCCCATTGAGCTGTCCACGTGTGACTACCGAACGACCAAAGTTCGTTCCACATGTGACGTAAATCTATCCCTGACGTAATGAGAGGACTGTGAACACACTCTAGGTGCTGAAGATCCGCCCCATTTTCAGGTATTTCCTAGGCAAAGACAATTTACATGTATACACAGAAACTGTTTCTCTTGAAACACTGATTTGAGATTACTTTAAAAACATTATAAGAACGAATAATTAACATGAGGTATGTATCAGAGGATGTACTGAGTCTTCGAAGAAAATTTATCGGTATGGGACAATGTTTTCCTCTTAGTCGTCTCTGTGTTATAAATAGGCTACTAGTTTCAGTGGCGGATAAAGGAATCTTGAAAGGGGGGGGGGGGCGAGCAGTTTGGGTCGGGTAGGGGCTCACAGCCACACCAAAAAAAAATTGATTTATTAAATTTTATGTATATTTTGGACATATAGGGGGGCCCGGGCCACCCTCTAAATCCGCCAGTGAGTTTGTAATATGGAATATGCATATATTACAACTGCCAATTTGTCGAACAATTTTCTCCCGTATTTGTTTTGCTGTTAAAAAATCTATTTTTACAAGAAGGAATTTCCTCTACAAAGTAACATACATGCATACCTTCATCGTAAATTTCCAAAGGAAAGATCAGTAGATGGCAAACATGTATATCCAATGTGAAAATGTGTGTTGTATGCTTGTCGGCGTAATTTTTAATAAAAGAGGGCTTCTGACATCACCTAACCACCAAAATTTGTGCTTTCCAAATATTTGGTATCTAAATGTATATATTTAAGTGATTTTTATTATAAATAAGAAATGAAAATATAATGCATGTTGAATGAAATTTATCCCAGATGTAGAGTACAGAGCAAAATAAAGGGCAATTTAATTTTTTTAAACTTATTTTCAGCCCCCCCCCCCCTGAAAATTCTGAATCCACCCAGAATCATTTCCCCTGCAGTAATGAGATACGAAAGGTCTGCCGAACTTAAATTTCATACTAAAATATATTTCAATTGTTCAACCAATACTTCATAGATCTGGCTCCAGGACTATAGACGAGCTTAGGGTAAGTGTAAAAATTTTATGAGATTTTGTAATAATGTTTTTTTTTAAATGTGTGCAAAAAATTTTGTTTAGATTTACATAGAAAATGGCCCAAGTCGCATACTTCAGCACCAAAAAAATCTATGAATTCTTTATATTTATGGGATTTATTATCTTTGTCATTTCTATTCAAAATCAGTCTCTCTCTCTCTCCATGCATCAAATTCTTATTTTGTGTTATTTATCCTTACTGACCCGGAGCCTATTCAAAGAGAAGCTAATAGTCAGTGTATACCTCTATATGACAGCTAATGTAGTGCTCCGTTCTCCCTCTGTATATCCAATCCCCATTGTGAATTTCCTCTATCCTAGGTACCGTCCACGTGGGCTCTATCCCTTCAGCGTGGTACCAAAAGTAGATATAGCCATTCGCTTCGTCTGATATATAACTCTTCACTTTGGCAAACTCTGGAACTGTAAGAAAAGTCAGTCTCATAGTAAGAGTAAAACATAAAGTTATTATTAGTTAATTATAGTTACATGTATTTAGTTAATTAGTCACACTTACTGATTAATCGAACTTTTACAGTATAGTATCAGAATAAATTTAACAAGTACATGCAATAGTACTTAATAATATGCAGTTAATGCCTATCCCAAATTTACCCGGTTAATGTGTCGTTTTTTAATTGTTCCAATTTCTAAAGAAAAAAAAACCCCTTATTTTCCAAATTTAACTTTACAGTGTTTGACTTTCTTCTGATTAAACTTTGTTGAGGATTCCTACCTTTGTCAGAATAAGGAATTTTTGTACATTGTCCGTCATTGCCTCTGAATTGCCAACCATGAAATGGACATTCTAGACAGTCGCCCACAACTCGCCCACCCACAGAAAGATTGGCACCCATATGTGGGCAATAGGCATCGGTCACGTGAGCAGTCCCATCTTCTCCACGAAAAACTGCTAAATTTAAGCCTGTAATGAAATGTGAATAATTTGATCTTTCAAATGGCATTTAGATAGATAATATATCTCAGTTATTGCCACTCAAAATATTAAGGGACGTCATATTGAAATAATTTAGGGGGGAAACATTTAAAGAAAATAAAAGGGAACAAAAACATTACTTCAAGATAATAAGGGTAGAACTTTTTTAACAAGCTTTGTTAAATTTTCGTTTCTGTATATTATGGGTTCTTAGGGTTCATTTAGTACATTTTTTTTTTGCATCGTAGCGTTACACTTTTGCAGGTGAAAAATCAAGACAAGAATAGAAACTTTAAGGTTATATCAATTAACATTTTTTTCTCGAAAATAATGGAATAAAAAATAAGTTTTATTCTACTATTATTTGCCAGTTATATAACATAAGGATTACGAAAAAAATCTCTTAATATCATATATTTCACGTTTTAACAGATCTTGATATAATATGAACTGCGTATCTATGTTTGATATTTAGATAGTTACCAACATGCTTGGACAGGTGTAATGGTTCATGTTAATTGTCAAACTGACCACAAAGGCGACTAATTAATTGATATTGTAGATTCTGTTATTTTGTTGATTGACCACGACGAGAACCCTGAGTAGCATATATAAAAGATAAAACCAAACAAGAAAACATGTCAATAGTCGCTTTTACAGGTAACAATGCATGACATGCCCTCGGCAAACTTCAAAAGAAAACATGAATGAGGTGAGAAAATAGGAAATTAAATTACGGATATGCATTTAGACAACGCACGACTGAATTTTATCGTTTACTCGTTTTCTATTTCAATTCTGTTTCCATTCATGGGGCATTTAAATCAGATTGATCCAAAAGCCAATACATGTGTAAGGGAGGTTATGTTTACACTCCGGAACTTAGAAATTATATAATTACTCCATTTCACTATTTCGGGTATTTGTTTAATATAAGTAATTTTATAAAATGACAATTTTGCTTATTCAAGAATATTCAATCAATTATGGTCAAATCTTCCAACAAGAATGTAATACTCTACATTTTTTGCAAAGGAAAGGAGGAACCCCCCCCCCCCCGGTTTTTCGAGTTTGGGCAACTTTTCGTTTTGTCTTGTTTTTGTTCTTTGGCTTATGAGTGGTCAATTATTTTTTTCTTCAGCACCCTCCCCCCTTTGCTCTTAAACGATTATATGTGCCTGTTTAATTTAAAATATATCAATAATCAGTGTATGTATGTTTTATGATACAGTAATATAATATCATTTATTATCTTACATTTATAACTATCATTATAATATATGGCTTAGGAAATGAAAATTTCCTTGAAAATTAAATTTATCATTAATTAATGAAGCACTACAATATGTATTTTGAAAATAAACATACCTAGAACAGAAATATTTTGCACTTCCCCGGGTTTGATTTTGAATCCTTCTATCAGTCCAAACCAGCCGTTAGGGTACACGGGAGGTATATCTCCCACTGCTCTCTGTTTCCTCACCCTATTCACCATGTCCTTCATAGACAGGTGCCCCTCCGGAATATATCCAACATCACCTAAATTCTTCACCCGATTCATAGGAAGAAATAAAATACCGTATAATTTGTAAAGTGGATAAGACAACACTGCTAAAAATATATAGGAAATTATTGACATGTAGTCTGTCCCAAACTGAATTTGAGGGAATTTCCATTTGGACATCCACAACCGGCTCGTCTCGTACAGAGGCACATTAAGAATTTTCTGCGTGACGGTTGCTGAAACTGCTATAATTAACACAAAAAGGGTCACACCAACAGAACAACATCTGAATAAGTCCCCCATAATTTAAGCTTAGTAGCGTTACTGTTAACAGACTCTATTCACGTGCATTCACCGGTTCCCTTTACTCTAATACTACACAGATTCCATGCTGTTGTGTTTTTATATTTCCGCCCGCTAACATGATTGGACGCGAGTAGAGACTTAAGCAATAAAAATACGTGCATTTTGAAATCACTCTGATTTCTGTTGTTGGATTTAAATGAACAATTAGAAGAAAAGAGAAGAAAAACTCCAGAAAGAACGTGACCATACCTATACAGTTAGTAAGTAATTGTTTATTTAAGCGTCACGTGACAAATATTACAAATAAAACAACACACTTACAACTGCTTGTAAAGTATTGACACCTTCCTCAAAGACACACGAGACACTAAAGAAAATGAACTTTAAAAATGTATAAATTATATTTTTCTCCACAATTTTAAAATATACAGATCTGACTGATTTATAATTTAATAATTCTAAACGCACCATCTTAACTTTCTCAATTTCATAAAATGACAAAACAAAGCAAAAAAAAAAAAAAAAAAAAAAAAAAAAAAAAAAAAAAAAAAAACATCTTTACTTTGGATAAAATGACATATTTTATTTTTCTTTAGATATTTTTTCCCCCACAAATTGATGTATTGATAAAAACATAAAGTGAATTGTGCAGATTGTACAAATTTGCATACTTTTTTTTTTTTAATAAACAATACTTCAAACCACGAGATAAATAAAAATTAATCTGCACATTTGGATTTTGAGAAGAGAAATTGGGAAATCTCTCTCTCTCCATATTATTCCCGAAAACCCTGTTTGCATCTTATAATTATATATTGCGCTTGCCTGTCCCTCTTTTCTTTTACCACAAATACTCTCTATAAAATCTATGAACTTTTATCTGCTGCTATTATTTTTATTGACATACAACAAGATATCACGGAGATCAAGTATTTGTAATGCTTATTATATATTTTCACTGAATTATCCATTGAGATGGCCTTAGTTGATTAACCACCTCCACGCCCCAAAAATCTATCTGTGATACATGTGGCTTTGTGAATAACATATTTTTTTTTCTCCTTGAAAAGGTACGATTTTGTATTTTGCGCTAGTGCTAAGAATGTTCAAAGAAAGACAACTCTAATTAAATAATTCAGTTTTCATTTTATTGTCTGCAACAGTAGTGCAATTAATTATTTATTGTACGTTTCCTTAATATTAATCTTGAATAAAACAAACAAAAACAAAAACTTCATTAACACTGACATTCTTTATCACTGCGACAGATTGTTTTATCATGTAGCCTAGGTAAGAATGAACTATATACATGGACGTTTATCCTAGTTCGGTATCTGTATCTAAATTACTTGAAACTTCCGGTACTTAATTGTAATCCACCTACACATGTTTAAGTCACATGGTAACACTTAAAATTAGGAAAATCCAGAAAAATTGCAAAATTCATCAAATGACATTGTACCTTTCTGAACGACAATGCACCTTCTGAAGAATCTTCTCGAATTAGGTCAAGTTCGTTCATGCAAATTACGGAATTTGTAAATAAAATTGTGAAATAAAGATCGAAATGCTGATGTTTCCTTAAAGTAATACACAAATTTGCACGCACATACACTTTATGTTCAAAATAGCCTCCCAGCTAGCCACGATGCAAGTTACTCATTATTATTAAAAATTATTGGTGCGATTTGAGAAATCATTTACTTTTGTGTACTAAGCATTTAGTATTTAAACTTTAACTTAACTTGCTCATATCCCGTCAATCAAAGTGATTTTTTTTTTCAAGAATACATATTTTCTGACAAAAAATATACTTTTAAAAGATTATTATGCTACAAAACAGACGATGCTAGAAACATCTCTTTCAATTCAGAACTGATATTTCACGTACATAATCCTTTAATAAATACAAATATTTTATTGGCACAAACACAATTACAGTAATTGGTAAAGGCCCATACAGAACACATTAATAAGTATAATAATACAGTAGAACACAACTAGAATACAAACAATTGGTTCTCAACTTGAATGTTCAAAATTTGGATTAAAACTTGCACTTATCTTAAGTATAAATTAACACCCTTCGAACAGAGACACCCCCTTTTCGACTTTCTAATATGTTTGGAAAAGTGTCATGTACATTTAAATTTAGAGGGTTGGACACGAACCCTCCCCTCCTTCGTGACATTAGAAAAACCAAGACGCTTTTTAAAAACTAGATTATGCAATCCTCTCTCAAGGACAAAAAATGGACCCATACTCGTGATAGTTAAAAAAAAGGATAGGTTGAAAAGTGTACAGTGTGTATCTGTTCTCAGAAAATATGCAATATGGTCCCTGAAGTTTTCACTTTACCTTCTAACATAGTCATCGTCGGAAACCCACGGTCAGTCTCGCTTCTCTTACCGAGGTAAGAGACCCGAGACCGACCGTGGGTTTCCGACGATGAACATAGTGAGATAGCGAAGATTCGAAGTCCCCAGAAATTCCATAAGCTAACTTTGACAATTTTCTTCACATTGAAAGTAAGCCTTAAAAACAAAAAAACCTTTCGGAGACTTTGCCCCCCCCCCCATTTCCATTAAAAGCAAACCATCTATTATATAATGAGACAGAAACAAATAAAAAGGAGGATGCATAAGGTTCCAAGAGACGTACCCCCTTCTTCCCACAGAAATGAACCATGAATCATGCAGCTTGAAGGAGGCGCCTACTTGACCCTTTTGAACTGACCCTTTTTTCTTGATCCATCCCTGTGTTGCTTCATCAGTACAACATGTAGTGCACAGACAAGGAAGCGTGCATGAGGACTTGTCGCGTGATATATTGATCAATAATCGGTATTACGTAATATACTACTTGATTGTTGACATAATGCAGATTTTTTATTGATAGAGAGAAACGCGTAAGAATGTTCCTGCAGTGATTCAGAGTTGCTCAATGTCATTTTCTTGCATATACAGGATTAAGGAAAACACAAGTGTATTTTTCTTGTTCAAAATCATATTTTTAAATATCTGAATTCACAGTGCACAGAATGGTGGTGTTTTTAACAATTAATGAATATTAACCAAAAAAAAAAAAAAAAAAAAGTCATAGGGGGTGTCTTGTGAATGGAAGAAAAACGTCAGTCATAACATATGGATTTGCATATGCATGAGACGAGATTTTGATTCAAGGGAATTTTCTTCCTCATTTTTGCCAAACGCGCTTATTTTAATTTTCAACACTATGGTTCTTTTACCATTTTTTCTATGGCCATGATGACAGTTCCTCTTTTTCTTAATCTAGAAGTGATTTAAAAAAAAAAAATCTAGTTTTTTGTTTCTCAATGAAGAAATAAGCAATCTAAAATGCTTAAAAATATTAGTCTGTAAGGTAAACAAATTCATTATGTTCTTGAATGGTGGAACGTGTAGCAAGAAGGGTTATCTCTCTTACATTTATCAAGTTGTAGTACGCTGGATTCAAACCCCATTATCGGTAAAAATAGAACTCGTACAGTCCACCTGCTTAACCACTGGACCAATTCCGAATCTATGAAATAATTTGTTACTTTTGTGCACTTTTTTGCATTTGGGATGGATAATTTTTCTTTATTTTTTCACTACTGCGAAGCATCCCCCCTTTACCCCCTCCCCCACACACACACTGACAGAGGAAGGAAAATAAGGAATTTATTGAACCAGGTTAAGGGATATGTGTGCTTTGAAAACGTGAAAATATTTTTTAAAAAAATCCTGTCCCACTCATGAAATAAATTCTATATCCAACTACAAAACATTAGCCATTAATACTAATCACTTTTTCGAGATTCGACACAGCTTTTCCGCGAAAAAATTCCTGCTTTTATGTATAGGTCTATATATCAAGTGACTTAAGTAGTGATAAGGAGGACATGGAAAACCTTTAAGGGTTGTATTAATCACATACGAGTACTTTTTGTGTAAAATGACACGTATATTTCGAGTTGTGATTTAACAATATTATTTTAAAGTATTTCTGATCTTTATGAAATACATGTATTAAGTATATTCATTTTAAAATAACATTATTAAGTATTCTTAAATTTGTGATAAAAAAATACAAGACCTAATACGAGACCTGTTTCATGTAATATCCTCCACCTTGAAATCAGGTTAATTATTGGTAGCTACAATATTTAAAGATCGCAATATTTTCTGCTGGTTTGGACGATTTTGGTCACCTAACAATATATTGGTGTTGATGTAGTGTGGAAGAGTGTAAATAAATCTATCTCTGAGATTTTCAACGTAAGGACATTGCAAAAGGATATGTTTAGAGGTTTCTATCTCGCCACAATTACAGTTGGGGCTATTCACAATATTTCGTGAAAAGAAATATGGAGATAACGAACAGTATTCAAGCTCAAAGTCCATTGAAACAATACATTTAGGGAGCAGAGCAAACACGAACCTCTATAAACATCAGAGGATGTTTTTTTTTTGTTTGTTTATTGTTTAACGTCCCTCTTGAGAATTTTTCACTCATATGGAGATGCCATCAGAGGATGAATCAGATACCATCGAGGAGTAAGCATCCCCTGTTATCCGTTCACACTGTGTGCTAATTGTCATGATCGGGAAAAACGAAAAAAAATCCGTATACAATTCTGTTTGTAAATAATGGCCTAACAATTAGTATAAAAACGTCATTCACCATTTGACTTAATGGTAGGTTGTATTTGCTGACAAGGTCATTGTAATGACCATAAAACTTGCAAAATGATGACTTCGAACGAGACTGTTGATGTCCTTGTTTCATGAACTTGTTTGTCAATAGCTTGCCTCGTTTTAGAAATTGTTCGTACGTAGAGCATACTCTTGCGTATCGAATCAGCTGGAAGACAAAACCCCCATATGCAGGTGATAAAGGTATATTGCTACATAAGTAAGGGGAGCTGATGATTGAAAAATTGAAGTCATCACGTATATTATAAAGCTTTTGTCAAAGGTATTGAAAAATCAAGTCTCAACCGGGACTTGTACCGTGCCTCCGCTCTAACCAC